GAAGAAGTTGGGCTATATGAGTTTGGATGGGAATGACATGATATCCAAAGGTTCTGATCGTAATTTTGATTTCTCCCTGATAATCAGAATCAGTTACTCCAGGCTGGACCAAAATCTGATAAAATCTAGTGGTAATGCTAGATCTTCCCAAAATCAATCCAATAGTGCCCTCAGGTAGTGGTCCCCATACCCCTATAAGAGCTATGATGATTTTATCCTGTTCTCTTAAGATGAGTTCCTGCGTAGTGACCAGGTCCAATCTTGTGCTTCCTCTTGTGGCGCAGAGATCAGTGACTCAGTCCTGAGTCCAAAACAATTGGTTGCTGCTGCCTGGAAAACTGTTGGAATTTGGGGCATCGGAGTTTGCAACCCCCACCCCCACCAAGCCCATTTCCCTGAGGTATAAGTGGTTTGCCATTTTTATCATATTTGGATCTGCATTGGTTGGCCCACTGTTTGTCCTTGCCACATTGTGGGCAGTCTTTACTGGTCAGGGTTTTGGGGTTATTCTGTTGTTTGGTTCAGCACTCCCAACAGGCGTGTCCTGATCTGCCACAATTAAAGCATTTAATTTCCTTGATGGAAATTAAAGGAAATTTCCTTTATGGCAGCCACTAGCAACATGGCTCAATGTTGTTCTGTGCCAGTGTTTTGGCAAGCCTTGGTAAATTGACTAGTATTAATGGTGGTTAGTCTGAGAGGATTGAGTACAGCCTTATAATCATTATTTGCATTTTCATAAGCCACTTGTGATAAAAGGGTCTCAGCTGCTTCCTGACTCTCAACCTGTTTTTGTATTGCTTCTTGTAGTCTATCAAAAAAATCTAAGTGAGCCTCTGTGGCTCTTTGCCAAATATTAATGAAGGAGCCTGGTCCCTGGGCTTTAGCTTCCAGAACTATCTTCACGGCATGGGGAGCACCCTGGGAGCATTGGGAGAAAGCTTGAGGGTCCATTTCCGCTTGCTCTCCAGTGGATTCTTACCGATCAGTTCCAAGAAGCATATTAAGCTGGATTGGGTTTCAGCTTCTGCTATCTCAGCCGCTTGGTGGCAGCAGTGATTAGTATATTCTGAATGCCATACAGTATACTGGGTGGGTCAGAAGTCTTTGTATATTTCAAAAGGGAAAGGTTCATAGGATGGCTGCCTGCATTGTTTAGTAACAACAGGAAAGGCAGATAGAGCTTTCCAGTCTCTAGCTTTCGCAGCCTCTCAGAGACATTGTTGCATATTGGTAGTGGTCTGGCTAAAGGCCAGAGGCAAATCTACTCAAGGAGAAAGGGGAGGAAGTAGATCCTCCAGTGAGTTACCCCATAGTGGGACCGAAGGAGGGCTGGAAGGAAGCCATCCCCCTCCATTTGCAGTGGCAGGTTTTTATTATTAGGTTTGGCAGCCATGAAAGGTCCCTTCTTTTATTCTAAGCTATCCTGATTATGAGGGTTTCTAGTATGAATAGGGGTGAGCGCCATTCTAACTATGCTCCAGGTTAATAAATTCTGATGCCCTGTAAAGGTCCCATTTTCCTGATGCCATTTTAGTTTCTGCCTTACTTTTTCCCATACTTTTAAATCTAAAGAGCCTTTATCTGGGAACCACAGAGAGTAGCTCTTTACTGTCTATAATAAGTTAATTAAATTCAGTTCTTTAACCTGACATCCCTCAGCCTTAAGAAGCTGCTGAAGCAATTGAAAATATGTCTCCTGCTCCTTAGAAAGCCCTGAGCCCATTTTTGCAGCTGGGGTATTTTAACTTACAGTTTTGTCTTCCTTCGCTTTGGCTCCGCCTACCTCATTCTGTAAGCTTCTTCTGGCTGATTGCTGGGGACTGAGATAAATGTCATGGGTCAAAGTGTGCTGTTTGTAAGGAGGGCTCCTAAGAGTGTCACCCTTTGGTCATCCCTGCCTCTCTTACGTGTCTCGGTTTCTCTCCCAGTCATCTAAACTGCTGGGAGGGCTCAGAGTGCTGGGTGACCAACCCTTATATCACACATCCTCAGACAAGCCAGAAGATTGGAGTTCCCTGTGAGGCCCCTATACATCTAGGGGATTGACCCCAGATACCTCTGCTAGGCCCCAACTCACATAGGGACACCCAGAAACTCGGGCCAGAGGAAGGAAATGCCTCTCATCTTTGGAGTGCGGCCAAAACCGGAGCTCTCATTCAATTCAATTCTTGACTGTTAGTTATTTAGCTGATGGTGGCTTCCTAGTATACCTAAAAGTGGAGGGAGGAGAAGGAAAACCGAAACCAAACGGCTGTAAGAGGCAGCCCTGAAAGAAATTCCCCTTTCCCTTTTCATCTAAGATGCACTGGCAGCATAACCAAAAGCACTGGTACCTCTGTCCCTTATGGTGGGATGAAGGTGCTGAATCCCATCTGTCTAGTTGTGCATTCTTCGACGAGACCTCATAGCCTCTCAACTGATGCAGGCCCCCAATTGAGGGTCCCTGTTTGGGCACCAGTTGAGGTGAACTATGTCCTGTGGAGTTCTCCTGGTCATGGATAAAATGAATTGGCCCAGACACAGTCTGTCTGGCAGGAAAGGGGTGACCATTCCTCCTAGTGGAGAATGTCCCAAGCCCTTCTCCAAAACAGCTTTTATTGGGATCCATATGTGTAGGGGTATACAGCATACATGCGTAGCTCATTAATCAATGTCCAAAGGCTATCATTATAGAAAACAGATATTATCTACAGATAAAAATTGAAGAAACAGATTTGCCTCAGGTTAGGGTCTACTAGACATACTGACACCAGATGGTCATTAAGGTGTGTTTCATGAGATAAGGAGTTCAAATCCTAGCATTCAATGTTGGTTCATATCTGCAAATCATTTAAGATTACATAATACATACACAAAATGAAGGATAAAAAACATGTGATTATGTCAGATACAGAAAAATCTTTTGACAAAATTTAACATTCATTTATGATAAAACCTCAGCAAAGTCATGGTACAGGAAACATACCTCAACATGAAGGCCATACATGACAAATCCACTGATAACATCATGCTCAGTGAAGAAAAACAAAGTTTTTTCTTTAATATCAAGAACAAAACAAGAATATCCACTTTCACCACTTTTATTCAACATTGTATTGGAATTGCTAGCTACTGAAAGCACAATAAAAAGAACTAAAAGACCTCCAGTTTGGAAAGGAATAAAGACAACTGTTATTATTTGCAGATGTAAAAGACTTATACTCAGAAAACCCTAAGAAACTGAGGAAACAAAGAAGATACAAATAAAAGTATAGCATGTGCTTTTAGATAAGAAGAATTAACATCACTAAAATGTTCATACTTCTCAAAGCAATCTGTAGATGCAATTGAAATCATATCAAAATAGCAATGTTATTTTTCACAAAGCTAGAACAAATAATCCTAAATTTTATATGGAACAAAGGACCTTGAGTAGAGGTCTCTAGAAAAAAGAACACAGTTGGAGGTATCATACTACCAAGTATCAAATTACACTACTGGGCTGTAGTAATCAAAACAGCATAGTACTGGCATAAAAACAGATCAATGGATCAGAAGAGAGTCCAGAAATAAATTCATGCCTATTCAATAAAGGGTATTAGGAAAACTGGAAAGATATGTGCAAAAGGATGAAATTGGATCACTCTCTTACACCATATAAAAGAGTAAACTCAAAACAGATTAAAGACTTAAATGTAAGATCCCAAACCATAAAACTTTTTTTGAAGAAAACATAGCTAGTAAATTCTTTGCCATCACTGTTAGTAATAGGATTTTGGATATGTCTCCTCAGGCAAGAGAACCAAAAGAAAAAATAAGCAAATGGGACTACATGAAGCTAAAAAGTTTTTGCACAGCAAAGGGAATAATCAACAAAACAAAACAGCTTACTGAATGGGAGAAAATATTCACCAATGATACCTCCTATAAAGGGTTAATTTCTAAATACATAGGAAAATCATACAACTTTTAACACCAAAAACAAAACAAAACAAAAAAACCCTAAACATTTAGGTTAAAAATGTTCAGAATTTTTAACCTGAATAAACGTTTTTCCAGAGAGGACATATAGATGGCTAATATCTATTGATACGGTAACATCTAATATGAAAAGTTGCTCAACATCACTAATCATCAGGGACATGCAAATTAAAACTACAGTGGGATACCACCTGATGTGCTTCAAATGGCTGTCATTAATAACAAACAGCAAATTTTGGAGAGTATGTGGAAAAAAGGGAATCCTTGTGTACTGTTGTTAACCACTATGGAAAACAGTCTTCCTCCAAAAATTAAATGTACAACTACCATATTACTCATCACTTTCACTTCTGGATATCTATTTGAGAAGTCTAAAACACTAATTTGAAAAGATAAGCACCCCTATGCTCTTTATAGCATTATGTACAGTAGCCAAGGTATGGAAGAAACCTAAGCGTCCATCAGTAGCCGGATAGAGAAGATGTAAACATATATACAATGGAATATTACTCAGCCATAAAAAGAATGAAATCTTGCTATTTGCAACATTGTGGATCTAGAGGGTATGATGCTAAGTTAAATAAGTCAAACAGAGAAAGGAAAATACCATATGTGGAATCAAAAACTTCCATAGATTTGGACAACAGTCAATGGTTTCCAAATGAGAGTGAGATTGGTGTGATGGCTGAAAAAGGTGAAGGGGTTAAAAAATACAAATTGACAGTTATAAATATTGTCATGGAAATATTAAATACAACATAGGGCATATAACCAATATCATTGTAATAACTATATGGTATAAGACAAGTATTGTATGAAACTTATCAGGGTGATCATTTCATAAGTTATATAAACACATCTATTCACTGTGTTAATACATCTAAAACTAATAATACTGTATTTCAACTGTCATTTACAAAAAAATTTTTAAAGGAAACACTGAATACAATCTATCAGACTGATTAATGTAAAGACTAATGCTATTTCCTATTGTCCACCTGAAGTCCTCCAAAAGAATTCATCATTTTTTTCATTAGGTTTGACAGCATAGGTTTTGGAGAAAGTCAAAGTGAAGATGAACTGTTTGAAAATGACTTGGAGACAGATCCACCCAACTGGCAACAGCTCGTTAGTCGAGAAGTATTAGTGGGACTAAAGCCTTGTGAAATCAAAAGACAGGAAGTAATTAATGGTGAGTTTAGTGTTTGTTATTGTTGTTTACATATAGTGAGTTTTATTAGAGCAGAAAATACCCCGAGCTTTGGTGTTTGCTTCACAGTTTCTGCTTGCCTTTTGTTTTAGACAAAGAAGAAATTAAGCTATATAGGTGACCCTTGAACTTTATAACTTACAAAATCATTAAGACAACATTGCCCTATCACTTTACTTTCAGGCTAAGTTAATTTATGCATAGATTATAAATAAAGATGCTAAAGCTCAGGTAATTGAACAAATAAAGATTGTAGCTCCTAAGTGATAGGGAGAAAACTAGAATCCAGGTCTTGCTTTATCCTAATGCAATACTCTTTATCCAAGCATTTTATGTAACAGAGATGTGACATGAATGCTGTACCCTCTGCTATCTTTAGAATATAATTTGAATAAATGTTCTTGATAACATTAAGACATAGTAGAATTACAAGTCTAGCCTCAGAGACGAGGGTTTATAGGCAAATTAGATAACCAAAAGTACTGTTACTTAGGAGGACTCAATTTAAAGGTTATATGATGTTTGGGCTCACAGTTTTCTAATGTTATAGTTGTGATTGGTGGGTGTTATTAGAAAAAGATGAGTTTCTGAGTGCACTGTTAAATTTGAAGTACAAGTTTTGGAGTACACTTAATTTTTAATTACCAAATGGTTTTGAATGATGTTTTTCCTTTGCCAGTATTAAATTCTTACAGCTAATATGGAGGAGGGTTCTACAGAATCAAGAAAATGACTTCAGAGTACCACACAGTTTCTAAACTATAAATATTATGTAACTTATTTGCTAGTTAATTTCAGCTAAAGCCTATAGGAATATAGTCAATAATGTTGTAATAACTATGAATGGTATAAGTTAAGTGCTAGACTTTTCATGGAATTGTACTAAGTAAGACAATATTTATGTTTACCTTTTTTCCTCTTTAGAATTGTTTTATACTGAAAGAGCTCATGTTCGAACTCTAAAGGTTCTTGATCAGTTGTTCTATCAGCGAGTGTCCAGAGAAGGAATTCTGTCACCTTCAGAGCTACGGAAAATTTTTTCAAACTTAGAAGATATTCTTCAACTTCACAGTAAGAGAAATTGACCCTGGTCTTTGTCCCTGACATTTCCAATAGATAAGAGATTGTGAGTATATAAAGATACCATAACGGTAAAATCTCATGAGTGTATCCATGTTAGTTTTTCTAAAATTGTATATGTGAATACAACATCTTTGAATATACCCCCCCACCACATACCAGCCTTTTCTCTACAAAGGGTTAACAGAGGACTTAGTAGCTAAGTCAGCGTTTAAGATGAAAAACATAAGTAGTCAAAATTACCCTTAAAATGTCCTATCGATTACAGTGTATATGTTTTTAAAAAGAAATATCCCATATAATATATGTATAAATGAATTTTGAAAATAGTAAATATAGTATGTAACCCCATGATGGTATCATTTTCAGTAATTTTATTTATTTATTTATTTATTTATTTATTTATTTATTTATTTATTTATGCTCTTGAGTAAATATCGAAAAATTTCTTTCTTGCTGGCTTCCCTTGGTTGAACTCATCTCAGACTTTCTAGTCAGTACTGTCAGTTCCTCTCTTTATAAGTCACTATTTCTCTGTGACCCTTAATTTTTCATTTTTCTTTTTTCAGGGATGCCCTTATCACCTTTCAATACCTGCCCACCAGGTTGAAGCCTTTTACTTCTTTGGGGGTGATTTTAGGTTTCACTGGCATGCATTGACAAGTTCAGGCTTGATTATATTCATTGTCTGTAAACATACACATTTTGAAAGAAATAGTAGGCAGAATCACATGCACTATTTAAACTTAAGTTCTTTATAAGCACAGGTATAGATGGAGTCATGAAGTTAAATGAATATTTGATTTGCCTATCCTGTATGTAATTTGCTAGTTTCACATTGTTTTATGCTTTGCCACCTAATTTGCAGATGGAGCTCATAAATATCTATGAGTAGGGACCCCTAAAATCCTGGAATTTATTTATTAAAAAAATGTGCATTTAGTTTTATATACTTAAACTTCAATCACCTTCAGATTACTCGTCATTTGATACAGTACAACTATTGAGACATTTTTTCCACTGCTCAGAACAGTTTTTGAACTCGTTGATGTTGATGCCTTTTACTGCTTCTACCATTTTTTGTTTAACCTTTTCCACATCAGCAAAACATTCCCCTTTGAGGACTTTCTTCATCTGGGGAAACAAAATGTTGCTCAGGGTTTGATCGGATGAACACGGAGGATGGGGCATAGGGTCTTGCTGTTTTTGGCCAAAAACTGCTGAACACTCAGCACAGTGTGGGCAGATGTGCTCCTAAATCACCCATCATGAAATAAGCAAGTGCATTAAAAGAGTCTTCAAAAAAAATTTACTGGAGCCAAACGGCCTCTCACAACGCCAGCTAGTACACTGATACAGATGAGTTCCTAGAACACTCACCTAGAGGGAGAAGCCTGTACTTATAAGGGGCCCACCCTCCAGAAGATAATTCTGGTTTTGGGGTGGATCCCCCCTTGTGGATTTATAAGAATTGTGTCCAAACTTATTTTAAGGAGAAGATTTAAATTCTTGGTACTACCAGTAACTCAGCCTGAAATGAGTATATGCTTAATCTTTTTCCATTTTATTTTTCCCCTGTAGTTGGGTTGAATGAGCAAATGAAAGCTGTTCGAAAGAGGAATGAGTCCTCTGTCATTGACCAAATTGGGGAAGATTTGCTGGCATGGGTAAGGAAATTAGCTATTTTATTTTAATATTTTTGTAGCTATTTGAGGATCAGATTCAAGTTTAAGTAATTAGCCTTTCCAAATATGCAAACTCATCCATTTTTCAAAGCTACTGTAAAGATGAAGACTCCAGAGTATATGTTTTTTGGTTAATGTCTTCTATTAGGTGCTCAATCAAACTAAGTGCTCCTTTTATTTTTAATCAAATAAGGATACTAGTTCTTTGTGTTTTAAAGAATATAAGTTGAATTTTCATAAAAATAATTTAACTGTATAGAATTTTAGCTATCTTCTGCTGTCCAAATCTCAGAATTATACTGCACATTAAAAATTGTAGATCCAGAATTTACCATCACAAAAGTAGAAAAGTGAAAATTACTTAATCTTAAAAGAGTTCAGAGACTATATCAAGTTGTGGTTATTTTTCTGACTCTTAGTCGGTATGTATCCTGCAATATATATTTACCAGTATGTGCCATACACTGTGCCGAGAATACAGAGGTGATCAAAACAGACATGGCTCCTGCCCTAGTGGAGCGCACAATTAATAGGGCAACTGTTAGTTATTTCAAGTTTGATGAGTGTTACAAGAAGGGGAAGAATACAGGTTGTTATAGGAATATATGGAAGTAATACCTAAAGTTGAACATATAGAAAATCTTCCTATGGGAAAAGGAGTTAGATTCCAACATTTAAAGAAATTACTATACTTAAGGCTATAGATAATAGTAAAGTATATCATGTAGTCTGCAAAAATTTAACACAGGTTGAAAAGGCACTGTTTAGATATGTCCACAGAAATTTACTTTAATATGTAGCCTGCTGTGAGATTATGGGAATTTTACAATGATAAATTTTTAAAAGATTAAATACTACCAGTTCACTAAAATCTTTATCTTACTACTTTTATGGATGGTGAGATCATGGCTTAGAATCGACTAATCCAATAGTTGGTCTCTTCTTAGCTACTTGATTCATAGAACAGGATTAGGGAATCATAATCCAGTCCTATTTTGCATTTACTGCTTTCCAAAGCAATTTCTCCCTTGGCCCACTCTAGGATCATTGTTTTTAAGGAGAATTTACTTCCTTGAAAAGTTCCATTTATTCTTTGGCTACTCTCTAATAGTCGATTCATTTTGTTTCTTGATGTTGTTGTAGCAGTGAAAGTTATGACTGAGTTCTGTTGGCTTGGTGGCAGACTGCTTAACTTGAAACAAAAAATTTGTAGGATGACATAGTATAACATCAGTTCATGTGAAGTGTGGGTTAAAAAGTTGTAAGTCATATGGATATAAGATATCAATTGATTCTAAGGAGTTTAATTTGCACCTCATATAAAATAGTGTTTAAACCAAGTCTCCAGTGAGATTCATCATTAATGTGGAACAGAAGTGCAGCTGGTCCTCTTATCAGTCCATTGGACGCCATATATGCATCTGCATGTTAAAACAAAGTAGAGAAACCTATTAATGCAGTGGGACAAAATTTATTTTAGTACATGTAAAATGAAATGTATTCTTTTTTAATATTATTTTTTCATTATAATTTCAGTATTATTTTGTATTAGTTTCAGGTATACAGCAGAGTGGTTAGACAAACTTAGACTTCACAAAGTGTTGCCCTGATATTTCCAGTACCCTTTTGGTACCACAAATAGTTATTACAATACTTTTGACAATATATTCCCTGTGATGTACTTTACATCCTTATGATTTTATTGCCAACAATGTGTACTTCTTAATCCCTTCACCTTTTTCACCCAGTACCTTAAGCCCCCTCTCAACTGGCAGCTGTCATTCTGTTCTCTGTATCTATGAATATGTTTGTTTTTTTGTGTGTGTTTATTATGTGCTTTAGATTCCACATATAAGTGAAATTATATAGTGACTGTTTCACTTAGTATAATACCTTCTAGATTCATCCTTATGGGCGAGTAATACTCCATTGTGTATGTGTACCACATTTTTTTATCCACTTGTCTGTTGATGGGCACTTGGATTGCTTCCATATTGTGGCTATTATATTATGAGTAATGCCACAGTGAACATAGAGATGCATATATTGTTTTGAATTAGTGTTTTGAATTTCTTCAGATATATACCCAGGAATGGCATTGCTAGGTCATAAGGCAGTTCCATTTTTTTCTTTTTATTTATGTATTTATTTTAAAATATATTTTTCCATTTAACTATTTTTTAATTGTATTTAATTGTATTTAATTGTATTTTTTCCATTGCCATTTAGTCCCCTTGTACCCACCCTCCCCCAGCAATCACCACACTGTTGTCCATGCCCATGAATCCATTCTCCTTTCTGCTCAATCTCTCCACCCCCAAACCTCCCCTCCCCACCTTTGCTGTCATTCTGCTCTCTATGAGTTTGTCTCTGTTTTTCTTGTTAGTAAAATTTGTTCATTAGATTCCACATATAGTAAAATCATACGGTATTTGCCTTTACCTGATTGGTTTATTTCACTTAGCATAATCTTCTCCAAGTCCATCCATGCTGTTACAAAGGGTAAAATTTTCTTCTTTTTTATGGCCGAGTGGTATTCCATTGTATAAATGTCTCATAGTTGTTCTAGCCACACATCTGTGTGTGGACACTTGGGCTGTTTCCATATCTTGGTGATTGTAAATAACGCTGCAATGAACATTGGGGTGCTTATGTTCTTTCGAATTAGTGTTTTGGGTTCCGACAGATATATTCCCAGAAGTGGGATGGCTAGGTCAAAAGACAGATCCATTTTTATTTTTTTTTTAGTTATTTCCATACCACTTTTTATAGTGACTGCACCAATCTGCATTCCCACCAACAGTGCAGTAGGGATCCATTTTCTCCTAGGGATCCTTATGTAGTAGGTGTCTTACAGGTTTCAGTGGCACAATCACTTCCTTCTATAGTTGGGTGTTGATTGCTCTGGTTGATCATGAGTGGGATTGAGCCTCATACTGGCTGACTATGTGGATTGACCCCAACCACAGTGTTCAGTCTGCTATGTGTGGGCAGACTCAATGAAGCAGAATTTCCCCCAGCAGGGTCTGGTGCTTGAGGAGATCTCCCTTTGGGTGTGCCTCTTATGGAGCTAATCGGACTATGTATGCTCTGATTTGGTCTGAAGCTTGCCACCATATGCGTTGCTTCTGGGGGGCGTTGAGAGGGAAATCAGTGCAGGTCAATGTCATATTCTGTCTCTGACTCTGTCTCTGGTTACCTCTTTTGAGCTACAAAGAGATCTTAGTTTATATCTGAGGCTGCTGGGCTTGCGCACATGTGGAAGGGACCAAATTGCATAACAAGGTCAACTTCCTCCAGCTCCTAGCACACGAGCATGTCAGCAAATGGCCAGGGCAATCTGAGATATGCCTGCAACTGCTGGCTGCTTGTTAGGCCCAGTCACTGAAAGAGCCTCTGGCAGCACATGATTTGCATGAGTTCTCATTGAGTATCAGGTAGGGTGAGTGCTGTTCATCGGGTTGATACAAATTGAAACTTGCCACCGGTGCTGGGTCTGAGACCACTCAGCAAAAGTCTGTGTATACCAAGGCCAGCTGCTACTCATGGACCACTGTGGTAGGGTGCAATCTAAGGGAGTTATCAGGGAGAGGCCAACAGAGTCAATCATGCTAAAAGAGATCATTGTTTGGCCATGTGAAAGGAGGACTCTGCATCAGAATGGTGATGCTAGTTGGTGTGAGCGGGGGAAAAATGGCCCTTTCCCTATTGCCACATAACTCAGCCTCACCTTGTACATCTCTGACACAACCTGAGTCTACCTAGATCTCCTCAGGAGCCCTCCAAGAAAGACTGCACTGTGGATCCAGGCTGGACCCATCCAGCATACTTCTCTGTTGGATATGAGCTTGACAAGGCTGGGCCACTGGGAGTTAGGAGGAGGAGCTACTGGTTAATACATAATTTTTCTAGGTTGATGCTTTATAGAGGAGAGTGTTCAACACAGGATACGTGACATCTCTGGGTTGTGTGGGAGCACAACTCAACACAGGGATCTTGGCAGCTGTCCCTTCAGCCCTCTCCCTGAATCCATGCAACCCAATATCTCCCCATAGTACTCCAGTTTGTTCTGAGCCACCTTCCCTCTGCAAGAGCCCAGAGTGAGTGGCCATCAACAAGATTTTGTGCATTGTCCCTTTCAGAGGACACATGGATTTCTAGCATACTCTGATCTCTTCCTAGTGGACAGAATCTCTGCTGATTTACACAACCAGACATTATGTGGGCTCCAGTTCTGGCTCTGGTGCTCTGGTCTTGAGATCCCTCACTCCTTAGGGGTATTCTTTGCACCTGAGATGTCCTTCTGAATTTTCAACCACTGCACATGAGTGCAGAGCTGGCCCTTTTCACATTTCCACCCTTCCTACCAGTCTCGACACAGCTTCTTGTGTAAATCGTTGGGTATGGGTCTTCTATTCAGCTAATCTTCAGTGGGTTATTCTGGTTCATTATTCTTTTTTTTAAGACTTTATTTATTTATTTTTAGAGAGGGAAGGAAGGGAGGGAGAGAGAGAGAGAGAGAAACACCAATGTGCAGTTGCTGGGAGCCATGGCCTGCAACCCATGTATGTGCCCTGACTGGGAGTTGAACCTGTGATACTTTGGTTCGCAGCCGACGCTCAATCCACTGAGCTACGCCAGCCAGGGCCATTATTCTTTAATTTAGTTGTAATTATGGTTTGTTCCTGGGAGGAGGGAAGTGTTATTTTTATCTACTCTGCCACAATCTTGGACCTTCCAAAAGAAGTGTATTCTTTTTTTCTCCATTAATTAATTTATTTTTAAATTAATTTAAAAATAAATTAATTTAAAAATAAATTAAGTTAATTAATTTATTTTTAACTTAATTTATTTTTTAAAGAGATGGGAAGGGAAGGAGAAAGACGGGGGAGAGAGACTGCTATGAGAAAGAAACATTGACTGGTTGCCCCTTGTACATACACCAGCTGGGGACCAAACCCACAACCTGGGCATGTGCACTGACTGGGAATTGAACTGGTGACCTGTTGCTTTGTGAGTGATGCCCAGTCAACTGAGCCACAGTTGTTTGGCTAGGGTTCCATTGATTTTTTAAATGAATTTATAGGGGTGATACTAGTTAATAAAATTATATTGGTTTCAGGTATACAATTAAAGAATACATCGTCTGTATATTTTATTCTGTATTTACTACCCCAAGTCAAATCTCATTCCATCACCATTAATCCCTGTTTTACCTACTGATACCTCCCCCATTCCCACACCCTTTTTCCTCTAGTAATCATCATACTGGTTTCTCTGTATATGACTTTTTATTGCTTAATCCCTTTACCTTTTTCATCCAGCCCCTCAAACCCTCACCAGCTGGTAGTTGTCAGTCTCTGTTCTCTATGTATGAGTCAGTTTCTATGTGTTAGTTTATTTTGTTCATTAGTTTCCACATATGAGTGAAATCATATGGTACTTGTCTTTCTCTGACTGACTTGACTTCTTTTAGCATAATACGAGTGTGGACCCCCAAAAACTGAGCATTTATTTATGAAAAATTATGTATTTTTACATGTTTAAACTTTAGTCACCTTCAAAGTACTCTCCACTTGATGCAGTATACATTGAGACTTTTTCCTTTGCTCAAAACAGTTTTTGAACTCAATAATTTTGATGCCTTTCAGTGCTTCTGCTGTTTTTCGTTTCACCTCTTCCACATCAGCAAAACATTTCCCTTTAAGGAATTTTGTCACCTGAAAGACAAAGTCACTCTGTGAGATTGGGTGAATAGGGAGGGTGGGGCATGGGGGTCATGCCATTTTTGGTCAAAATTGCTGAACACTCAGCACAGTGTGGGCAGGTGTGCTCATAAATCACACCCATCATGAAATGGGTAAGTGCATTGAATGAGTCTTAAATTCACGGAAGCTGAACACAGCCTCTCACAACAATGCCAGCTGGTACACTGATACAGATGAGTTCCTAGGACATTCACCTAGCATAGGAAGCCTGTATTACAAGGGGCCCACCCTCCAGAAGATAGTTCCATTTTGGGGGCATCCCCCCTCATGTTCTCCAGGCTCATCCATGGTGTTGCAAAAGATAAGATTTCCTTCTTTTTTTATAGCTGAGTAGTATTCCACTGTGCAAATGTACCATAGCTTTTTTTATCCACTCACCTACTGATGGACGTTTGGGCTGTTTCTAAATCTTGGCTGTTGTAAATCATGCTTCAGTGAAAATAGGGGGTGCATATATTCTTTCAAATTAGTGTTTTGGGTTTCTTTGTATATATTTTCAGAAGTAGAACTGCTAGATCATAAGATAGTTCCATTTTTAATTTAAAAGTAACTCCATACTGCTTTTCACAGTGGCTGTACCAATCTATACTTCCACCGACAGTACATGAAGGTTACCCTTTCTCCACATCCTCTCTAGCACTTGTTTGTTTTATTGATGATAGCCATTTTAACATGTATGAGGTGATATCTTGTTGTGGTTTTAATTTGCATTTCTCTTATAATTAATAACATTGAACACCCTGTCTGTCTATTGGCTATCTGTATGTCCTCTTTGAAGAAGTGTCTATTCAGGTACTTCGTCTATTTTTTAATTGGATTGTTTTCCTGATGTTGAGTTTTATAAGCTCTTTATAAATTTTGGATATTAACCCCTTATCAGTTGTACTGGTGAATATGTTCTATTCAGTGGATTGTCCTTTTATGTTGTTGATGGTTTCCTTTGCTCTGCAAAAACTTTTTAGTTGGATATAGTACCATTTGTTTATTTTTTCTTTTGTTTCCCTTGCCCAAAGCAATAATATCAGAATATTGCTACAAGAAATGTCTGAGATTTTACTGCCTGTGTTTTCCTCTACGATTTTTATGGTTAAGATTCTAACATTTAATTCTTTAATTCATTTTGGATTTATTCTTTGTGTATAGTATAAGAAGTTGGTCAAGTTTCTTCTTTTTTTGTTCATTTGCATATATCTATCTCATTTTCCCCACACCATTTTTTGAATAGACTATTTTTACCTCATTGTATATTTTGCCTTCTTTGGAGGATATTAGTTGCCTATAAAGTCACAGGTTTATTTCTGGGCTTTCTATTATGTTCTGTTTATCTATGCCAGTACCATACTGTTTTGATTACTATAGCCCTTTTATTTTTAAGATTTTTATGTATTTATTTTTAGAGAGAGGGTAAGGGAGGGAGGGAGAGAGGGAGAGAAACATCAATGTAGGGTTCCCTCTTGTATGCCCCCTACTGGGGACTTGGCCTGCAACCCAGACATGTGCTGTGACTAGAATTGAACTGGTGACCCTTTGGTTCTTAGGCCAGCACTCAATCCACTGAGCCACAGCAGCCAGGGCTGATTACTATGGCCTGGTAGTATAGTTTGATATCAGGTAGGGTGATTCCTTCAACTTTGTTCTTTTTCTTGATTGCTGTGGCTATTCTGGGTCTTGTGTGGTTCCATATAAATTTCTGGAATATTTGTTCCAGTTCTATGAAATATGCCATTGGTATCTTAGTAAATATTGCATTGAATTTGTAAATTGCTTTGGGTAGTTAATTCTTCCTATCTGTGAACACCGTATATGCTTCCACTTACCTGTATACTTCTTTCTTTATTCATTGCCTTATAATTTTTTGAGTATAGGTCTTTTACATCCTTGGTTAAATTTTTTTCTAGGTATTTTTTAAGCAATTGTAAGTGAAACTGTTTTCTTATTTTCCCTTTCTGATAGCTCATTATTGGTGTATAAAAGTGAAACATAATTCTGGATATTTATTTTGCATTCTGTTATAGAGGACCCTAAAGATTCCACCAAAAAAACTACTAGAACTGATAAAAGAAGTATATTCTTGACCAATGTGATGGACCTGTAAAAAAATTGGAATGGACTAACCAATTACATTAGTAACCATAAGTTATAGATGGTTAATTTAGGGCAATGCAGAAATAGTAAAAGCAAAAATCATAAATATGCCTTTAAAATTATTATTTCAAATAGTTTTGGATAATTTATTTTTTTGTGTTTGTCCATTAAGATCACTTTTCGGATACTCAAGCTACTTGTAAAACTACTTAACAACTGCTTGAGGTTGATGACATTTATTTTCTTTTGTAAACCCAGTTACTATGGTAGTATTTGTGTGGCAGAATTAATGTTCCAAACTACTGTCAGTCTTATTTTTTAAAATGTTGACTGTCATTTGTAATAGAATAAGAATACAGCATTGGAACAACCTATTGAAATGTCACTTAATATGTGTCCTAGTTGAAAAAACACTCTGACTTTACCTACAAATACACTATAAAACAGTTTTTAACAAAATATTTTCATGTACAAACTTTTACAATTATGGTTTTAAAGGGAAGATTATATCAAAAATTTATTTATGAATCATAAAAGCAATTATTAGAAATATAAAGCTGGTTAAAAATAATTTATTCAACCTATACTTATAAAAGCACCTATTGGAAGTGAAGCACCTGTTAGGTGTTTTGTTGGAAACATTAAAATTATCAGTAAAAAGTACTATTTTTTAGCAAAGAGATTCATAGGTTCATGGATCTTCCACAAGAGAGAGATTGATGGCATGGATAGCTAGCCTCATCAGCACAGGTGGAGCAGGGATAATTTAATTTTATTGCAATCCAGAAAAGTTTTAACCTGACTTGGGTTTTATACTAAGCAATAATAAAAAGAGTCATTTTTGTGAAGGTACCAGATTCTAAGAACATGAAATTTTAATCTCAGTATTTTTTTTCTTTTATACTATATTTTTAAATTTTATTTGTTTTAATTAAATTTATTGGGGTGATATTGGTTAATAAAATTACATAGGTTTCAGGAGTACAGTTCCATGATACATCATCTGTATATTTCTTTGTCCACTACCCAAAGTCTCTTTTAATGTATTTTTTATGTATGTCTCATAATTTTTATGTATGTCTCAGTGTTTTTTTATGTATGTCTCATAATTTCCAAGGTGTCAATTGTTCTAATATAGAAGTGGTATACACTGAAAAGTTAATAAGCATGGGAGGCTACAAGGAAGAAAACATTAGAGTATAATTAGAAAAGGTTTGAATGTGTCAGAGTCAGATGTTTTTAATAGAGAAACATTGATATTCCATATATATAAGTAGTTCTTTGTTTCTTGTTTTTTGAGAATTTTTACTGAAATATCAAAAAGATTGTGCATGTCTTTCATTTTGTCTGGCCTTTTATCAGCTAAGTATTCCATTGTCTATTGTATTCTTTGCTTTCTTGGCACAGTTCAGTGGACCAGGGGAGGAGAAGTTGAAACACGCTGCCGCTACCTTTTGCAGTAACCAACCTTTTGCCCTGGAAATGATCAAATCTCGTCAGAAAAAGGATTCTCGATTTCATACTTTTGTGCAAGTGAGTTGACTGTGTCCTGTAGGGGGTAAAAATGATGCAATTAAATTAATTATGAAATAAACTGGTGAATTCTAAGTCTTTTACAAGCATTATATCTATGTTAATGTTTCTTAAATCTATGCTCTCTTAAATTACTGAATAATGACAAATAAAGAATGCATATCATGATTAAAATACTTAACATAGACGTTCACATTACCATAGAAATGTCCAGGAGTGGCCCATGTACACTATTAAAATAATATCAAAACATAAAGAATGGGTTTATATCCAGTCCAGGGAGCAACATAACAACAATCATACTTACTGAGGTATATATTGGTATAGAGGAAGGGTCAGTAAGCTACAACCTGCTGGTCATATCCATCCTCTTGCCTGTTTTTGTAAAGAAAGTTATATTAGAAAACCGTATAGTAGTTTTTTATCGTTGTATAGTAAATTACCATAAGCATAGCATAACTTACCACAAGCATAACTTAAAACAATGCAAAGTTATTATATCAGTGTTTTTGTGGTTCAAGAGTACAGGTGTATAGTTTACCTAGGTTCTCCTTTCATGCTTTCACCAGGCTGAAATCAAGGTGCCAGCTGGAGTTGTAGTTCTCATCTGAGACTTAGGGTCCTCTTTTAAGCTCACTTGTTAGCAGAATTCATGTCATTGTAAATGTATAACTGAGATCTTTGTCTTCTTACTATTGTTGGCTACAGACTGTCCCTGGTTCCTATAGAATGCCCATATTTGTTTGCCATATGACCCCTGTAGGCATTTTACAAGATGGATGTTTGCTTTCTTCCAAGCTAGTAGGAAAGCATCTCCCTGGTAGAGCTTTCCTTTAAATACTCCTCTAAATAAGTCAGACTCACCTAGGAGAATGCTTAAAAGTCAGCTAATAGTAACCTAAGCAAAGGAACAGTATGCCATCATATTCCAGGTTCTATCCACACACAAGGGAAGGGGATTATATAGGGTGTATACACCACAGGGGGAATTTTGGGAGCCATCTTAGAAACTTTTAATACACATAGTCATATTCTTTGATTTACATGTTATCCCTGGTGCTTTGGTTCTAAAACAGCAAAGTTGAAAGTTGTGATAGAGACTACGGTATGCAAAGCCCAAAGTATTTACTATTTGGCACTTTACTGAGAAGTTTGCAGATCCTTGCTGTAGATGAGCTGCTACATTCAGACTGGTGACCCATTGTGCCTACTTGGGATGGCAGCCAGCAAATTAGCTGACTTGTTTTGGGTAGGAATGCCAATTATAAGAAACTGTAACTAGATTTTTTGAATATGTTAAGATAAAACTTTTATCCCAAGAAAGTGATTCTAAGAGTTGATTATGAATGTGTTCAGTCCTTGCTTAAACAGATAACAAAGAAGCCATTGGTTTAGGAATAAAAAGAGAAAGCAGAAGTATATTGTGGCAGTGGTATATTTTGGCATATTTTAAGTCTTGATTTGATTACCAGAATTGTGATGCTGTAGATACTTACATGACGAGTATATGGTAGAACTTAAAATTCACTAATTTCACTTTAATTTTAGGATGCTGAGAGTAATCCACTCTGTCGTCGTCTGCAGCTGAAGGATATTATTCCTACCCAAATGCAGAGGCTTACTAAGTACCCTCTTCTATTGGATAATATTGCCAAATACACAGGTACAACATATTCACTGAAATAAAAGAGCTTAGGGGAAAAATAAAACAAAATTCTGTCACAGCATTCTGGTGCCTAGAGGTTTCCAAATAGTAGAGCAAAATTTTCTAGTAAGATTTAGTCCAATGTTCAGGATATTTGCTATAATGGACTCCACTGTTGAGTATAGCACAGGGTTTGTCAATCTGGATTATGGGCTAAATATAACTAATCACCTGTTTTTGTAGTTCTTTAGAACATAGTCATGCTCGTTTGTTGACACACTGTGCTTTTGCACTACAAAAGCAGAGTTGAGTAGTTGGGACAAAGACCATTTGGCCTGCAAAGTATAAAATGCTTTTTACTGGCTCTTTATAGAAGTTCACCAATTCTTCCTCTAGCATATGTCATATTTCCTTTGAAGAAGGCTAATATTGGGTTGAAGAGATGTTTTTTATCTGTATATGAACTTTCATTAGCCCAGTTGATCAATGCATTATAATTTCAACTCTTCTGTTTTAACATAAATAGTGGAGGTGCAGCACTACCTCTGTTGGTGCAGGGACCACAACTCTGCTCTACAGCCAGCCAGCACATCAGTCTTCCCACCAGGCTGTCTTCCATTGCCGCTGCTGCAGAATCAGTGACACTGCTGCCCACCTCCAGAAAATCTATATGTTGAACTTCTGGCCAAGATAGAAGTATAGGTGGATATGTTTTGCTTTCTCGCACAACCAACAGAAAGACAACCACCAATTTAAAAACCAAAAACAACCGTAACTGCCAGAAAATCGAACTATATGGAAGTCTGACAACCAAGGAGTTAAAGAAGAAATACTCATTCAGACTGGTAAGCGGGGCAGAGGCAGGCAGCTGGCGTGAAGGTGCGCGGCAAGGCAACAGACCAGGCCAGCGAGGTGGTGGCTGGTGGACAGAGTGGTCCCACATTCATGAGCCTATAAGCTGGGAGAAACAACTGGTGAGCAAGACAGACCGTGCAACCTGGGGTTCCAGTGTGGGAAAATAAAGCTTCAAATCCACTGCCTGTAAAAACCTGTGGGCGTTGTGGCGGTAGCAGAAACTGCCATCCTCACAGAACAGTTCATTGGAGAGATCCAGTCCTAGAATGTACACAAGCTCACCAACCTGGAAATGAACAGAGGGGCCAGTTTGCTTGTGGGTAGTGGGGAAAGTGTTTGAAAGTAGGGCGAGAGCAGAACAAATGACATTGTTTCCTCTCTCATCTCTCCCGCACTCAGCACCACAATGCACTGTGATGGGTTGTCTCTGCCCCTTACTACAGAACAGGTGTGCGGAGACAAAGAAGTAGGGCCCAAATGAAAGAACAAATCAAAACTCCAGAAAAAGAGGAGATGGCCAACCTATCAGATGCAGAGTTCAAAACACTGGTAATCAAAATGTTCACAGAATTGATTTGAGTATGGACACAAAATAGAGGAGGGACTAAAGGCTATGCAAAGTGAAATACAACAAAATATACAGGGAACCAACAGTGAAGGGAAGGAAACCAGGACTCAAATCAACAATCTGGAACAAAAAGAAGAAATAAACATTCCACCATAACAGAATGAAGAAACAAGAATTCAAAAAAATGAGAGGCTTAGGAACCTCTGGGACAACTTTAAACATTCCAACATCCAAATCATAGGAGTGCCACAAGGAGAAGAGGAAGAGCAAAAAATGGGGAACTTAATGAAAAAATAATGAAGGAATACTTCCCCAGTCTGGTGAAGGAAATAGACTTTCAGAAGTCCAGGAAGCTCAGAGAGTCCCAAAGAAGTTGGACCCAAGGAGGAACACAAGACACATCATAATTAAGTTACCTAAGTTTAAAGATGAGTAGACAATCTTAAAAGCGCAAGAGGAAAGGAAACAGTTACCTACAAAGGAGTTCCCAGAAGATTATCAGCTGATTTCTCAAGAGAAATCTTACAGCCAAGAAGGAGCTGGAAAGAAGTATTCAAAGTCATGAAAAGCAAGAACCTGCATCCAAGATGACTCTATCCAGCAAAGCTATCATTTAGAATGGACGTGCAGATAAAGTGTTTCCCAGATAAGGTCAAGTTAAATGAGTTCATCATCACCAAGCCATCATTGTATGAAATGTTAAACAGACTTACTTACTTAAAAAGATCAAAAATATGAACAGTAAGATGACAGACAACAAACACACAACTATCAACAACTAAACCTACAAAATAAAATCAAAAACTAAGTAAACAACTAGAACAGGAACAAAGTCACAGAAATGGAGATAATATGGAGGGTTATCAGCAGGGAGGGGGAGGGGAAGAATGGGGAAAAGGGTATAGGAAATAAACATAATTCATGGGTACAAAATAGACGGGGTGTAGTTAAGAATAGTATAGGAAATGGAGAAGCCAAATAATTTTTTTATATATGACTCACGGACACAAACTAAGGGGTGGGGTGAAATGCAGGAGGGTAGGGGGGTCCAGGGTGGAAGGGGATAAGGGGGGGAAAAATGAGACAATGGTAATAGGATAATCAGTACAATATACTTAAAAAAATTTAAGTACTGAATAAATTTTACAATTGAGCTTTAGGCTGTTATAATTAATTTTCATTAGTAATTTTATGCAAACTCCTGTTATTTATGCCTCAGAATTTGAAAACACTCATAAGCATGATTTTTATATTTTAGTATATTTGTTCATTATAATTAGACTGTGTTTGGAGGATTGTAATTTTGAGTATTTTGATTTTGGTATTTAAATTGTATACCTCAATGTATGTTTATGTTGTATACCTCAATATAACCCATCATATTGTAGCAAATTTCACATTTTATTTATTCATTTTTAATTTTTAAAATTTGTTTATTGATTTTATTTTTTTGCTTTTTTTTGTTGTTGTGCGATTACAGTTGTCCCCATTTTTTCCCATTACTCTCCCTCACCCTGCCCACATCCACCTCCCACATTCAATCCTCCGACACACCCATTATCTTTGTCCATTGGTCCATTATACATGTTCCTTAATAACACTTCCCCTTCTTTGCCGCATTATCCTCTTCCCCTGACCCCTCTGGTCATTGTCACTTTGTTCTTAATTTCCATGTCTCTGATTATATTTGGCTTGCTTGTTTGTTTTTGTTGAGTAGGTTCCACTTATTGCTGAGATCATATGGTATTTGTCTTTCAGTGACTGACTTATTTTCTTAGCATAGTACTCTGTAGGTCTATCCATGCTGTCATGAAGGGTAGGAGTTCCTTCTTTCTTTCTGCTGTGTAATATTTCATTGTGTAAATGTACCACAGTTTTTTGACCCATTCATTAACTGATGGGCACTTGAACTGTTTACAGCACTTGGCTGATGTAAATGGCGTTAATATGAACATTGGGATGTATAGATTCTTTTGAATTGCTGTTTCAGGAGTCTTAGGGTATAATCTTAGCAGTGGAGTTGCCAGGTCAAAAGACAGTTCCAATTTAGTTTTTTGAGAAAATTTCATATTGTTTTCCACAGTGCCTGCACCAGTCTGAATTCCCAACAACAGCGCACTAGGGTTCCCTTTTCTCCACAACCTCACCAGCACTTGTTGTTTGTTGATTTGTTTATGATGGCCATTCTGACCTGTGTTTAGTGCTATCTCATTGTGGTTTAAATTTGCATCTCTCTAATAGGTAGTAATGCTGAACATCCTTTGATATGTCTCTGGGCCATCTGTGTGTCCTCCTTGGAGAAGTGTCTGTTCAGGTGCTTTGCCCATTTTTTAATTGGGTTGTTTGTCTTCCTGGAGTGGAGTCATGTGATTTCTTTATATATTTTGCAGATCATCCCCTTGTGTGAGTTATCACAGGCAAACATATTTCCCATACAGTTGGTTCCCTTTTCATTTTGCTGATGTTTTCTTTAGCTGTGCAGAAGCTTTTTATTTTGATTAAGTCCCATTTGTTTATTCTTTCCTTTATGTCTCTTGCTCTAGAGGACATATTGGTAAAAATGTTGCTGTGTGGAATATCTGAAATTTTCCTGCCTATCTTTTCCTCTAGGACTTTTATGGTGTTGAGACTTATATTTAAGTCTTTTATCCATTTTGAGTTTATTTTCGTATATGGTGTAAGTTGGTAGTTGAGTTTCATTTCTTTGCATGTAGCTGTCCAGATATCCCAACACCATTTGTTGAAGAGGCTATTTTTACTCCATTTTATGCTTCTTCCCCTTTTGTTGAATATTAATTGACCATAGAGACTTGGGTTTACTTCTGAGCTCTCTCTGTTCTGTTTTATTGATCTATGTGTCTGTTCTTAAATGCCAGTACCATAGTGTTTTGATTACTTTGGCCTTATATATTTTGTGTCAGATATTGTGATCCCTCCTACTTTGTTCTTCTTTCTCAGAATTGCTATAGCTATTCAGGGTTGTTTATGGTTCCATATACATTTTTCAAGTGTTTATTCTTTATCTGTGAAATATGTCATTAGTATTTTGATAAGGATTGCACTGAATCTATAGATTTTGGGGCGTCATATGGACATTTGATGATGATAATTCTTCCAACCCATGAGAATGGTACATGCTTTTATTTGTGTTTTCCTTAATTTTTTTTCAGTGTTGTTTAGTTTTCTGAGTAAAGTTCTTTTACCTCCTTGGTAGGTTTATTCCTAAGTACTTTATTTTCTTGTTACTATAGCAATAGGGATTTTTTTTCCTAATTTCTGTTTCTGATATTTCGTTTTTGGTGTGCAAAAATGCCTTCACTTTCTGAATATTTACTTTGAGTTCTGCCGTTTTGCCAAGTTCATTTACTAGATCAAGTATTTTGCAGGCATAGATAGGGTTTTCTGTGTACACTATCATGTCATCTGCAAACAATGACAGTTTTGCTTCTTCCTTTCCCATTTGGATACCTTTAATTTCTTTTTGTTGCCTGATTGCTGTGGCTAGGACTTCCAAAATTATGTTGAATATAAGTGATAAAAGCAGGCATCCTCCTCTTGTTCCTGACCTTAGTGGGAAAACTTTAAGTTTTTGCCCATTGAGTATGATGTTGGCTGTAAGTTTCTCGTATATGGCCTTTATTATGTTGAAGTATGTTCCTTATACTCCCACTTTGCTGATTGTTTTTACCATAGATGGTTGCTGTACCTTATCAGATGCTTTCCTGAATCTATTGATATGATGGTGTGACTTTTGTCTTTCCTTTTGTTTATGTGAGGTATTTATTGATATGCGAATACTGTACCATCCTTGAATTATTGGGATGAATTCCACGTGGTCATGTTGTATGATCTTTTTAATGTAGCACAGGATGCAATTTGCCAATATTTTGTTGAGGACTTTAGTGTCTATGTTTATTAGCAGTATCAACCTGTAGTTTTCTTTCCTTCTTGTTTCTTTATCTGGTTTTGGGATTAGGATAGTGCTGTCCTCATAAAGGAGTTGGGAATTTTCCCTGGAATAGTTTTTGGGATTGTCTGAGAAGGATAGGGTTTAGGTCTTCTTAAATGATTTGTAAAATTCTCCTGTGAAACTTTGTGGTCCAAGGCTTTTCTGTGGGTGGAGTTTTTTGATTGCTGCTTCAATTTCACCAGCAATTATCGGTCTGTCCAGGCCTTCTGGTTCTTTATTCAATTTTGGAAGTTTATATTTCTAGAAATTTGTCCATTTCACCCAGGTTTTCAAATTTCTTGGCATAGAGTTGTTTGTAGTAATCTCTTACAATCCTTTGTATTTCTGTGGTGTCATTTGTAATTTCTCCTCTTTCTGTAACCATGGTATTTCACCCAACTGGCCACTGTTTATAAAAGGTGGAAAAGAAATGACTCTTATTGTAGGGGAAAAAGAATGGGAGCTGACTTAAGAAAGAAAAGCACTTATGTGAGGTTATATGGAGGAGAGCTAGTGAGAGTAAGGGATAGAGACTTGGCATAGTGTGAGAGAAAATGTACAGCAGTGATTATTCCAGGAAGATGACGATATGGATTGAGACTAGGGAAGGGTGCTGTGTTGGATTTGGAATAACAATAGTGTGATAATAAATATATAATCTGAATAAAAAGTACAAGACCAAGAGTAGTGAGTTATTTGGAATACAAGTGAAGTGAAAGAAGAAAATTAAAATGCAACATGAAAAGGAGAATAAAACAAAACAAAACAAAAACACTAAATGGAATGAAGTAAGATAAATTAAAAAAAATATGCAAGTTCTGCTGAAGAGCCAAGTGAAATTTGTCTCAGCTCTTGGTGTTCACCTTCTGACTTATTTCTCCATCTGTCTCTGGCTTTCCATCCTGTCCAGGTCTTACAGTTAACAGGGGGAAAAAAACTAGCCTGCCCAGCTAGTTTTGTAGATCTTCCAGTTTTCTGCAGGCACAGAGTGGCTGGGCTGCGTTTTTTCTTTTGCTGTGATTCTACAAGTGTGGTGGCTCACTCTGGGCTAGTATAGTCAGAGGTGCCCAGTTTCCAGCCCAGACCCTCAGAGCACTGTGCAGCCTGCACTCTCCACTGAGCATTTGCACCCATCCATCACAGATAAGCCACCTCATTTTGCACCCCTTTGATCAGTCCATGAGGTTCCCAGAGTGGGAGCAAATTGAGCCCCCACTCCTCCCTTTTTGTTCACTGGGGCAGTTTCAGGTAGGTCCCTGCCAACGAAGCACCTAAGTTCTTTTGAAAAAAGTCTCTTTGGGCACCATGCCACTCTGAGCCACTGCATGGCTTTCCACACAGTCCAACCCTCTGGCAAATCCAGAGTTCTGTTTGAGTCACGCCCAGTTGCAACTCACCTCCTCTCCCAGGTCTAAGTGTCACCAGGATCCCCCAAATTCTCTGGCTATGTCCCAACCAGTGACCACAGATCCAGCCTGGGTACTCTGTTGGCTGTGTGTCACTTGCTACCTTTTCCCCCCGACTTAGTTCACCCCACTGGACACATCGTTCCTGTATGTGTTCCTGCCTCTCCTGGCATGAGTCTGGGACTTCCCCTCCATGGGAGGAGAGGGAGCCTGTAGGCTGCTATCACTGACCCAACTCTCCTCCATTGTATCCACAATAGCTGCAGTCTCTGGTGCCAGGCCTAGGAGCCATCCCATTGGTCTATAAAACCTCCGTACTGCCCTTTTTGAAGGGTCCTCTGCACACTTTGGCTTCCAAACTTCATTTTGACTGAGGTTCTGTTGGCTGTTCACTTTGTTTTTTGGAAGATGGGCTAAGTGTCCTAGTTGAGTGCACAAGCCCGTAGACTCAGTTCCCAACTATATAGCTGCCATCTTCTTAGCCTGTTTATTGATTTTAGAGAAAGAGGGAGGAGGGGGGAAAGATAGAAAAAGAGACATCAATTTGTTTCCTCCCATACGTGCCCTAACGGGGGCCACTATGTAGGTGTGTGCCCTGACCAGGAATTGAGCTCCCAACCTTTTGGTGTGCAGGACAATGCTCCAACTAACTGAGCCACACCAGGCAGGGCCAAATTTTATCTTCTTTTAATGATACAGATTTTCTAATGTATTTTATTTCTATAAATCTAATTTCAAATTCAAACTTACTTTGGAGTTATGTTGAATTATTTTGTATTATCATTCAAAAATTGCTCAACAGATACACTGTACATAATCATGTAGGCTGTGCACTGTGATATTTTAGTGGGGAGGGCTCCCATTTATATTGCTTATGTGAATGAGACTGACTTCCTGGAGTGTATAACATTGATGCTTGATAGTTGATACTTGGTGTAAAACATCTCTCCTTGTGTTGGGTTCCTATACTATGATTTCTTTTTAAAGATTAGTATTTATGTTTTAAAGTACTGTCGTAAGTAGTTTCACGCATCCAAAGACTACCTAAATTGAGATTCTTCCATCAGTCTTAGCCTGGTGTGAAAATATTCAGGATCTTAGGATGTTCTTTTAACTGTTCAAATAGAATGATGTATATGATATCATTATTTTCCTTATATCCTCCATTTTGGATTTCTTGCCTTTATTTAGAGTGGCCAACGGAAAGGGAAAAGGTGAAGAAAGCTGCAGATCATTGTCGTCAGATCTTAAATTATGTAAATCAGTCTGTCAAGGAGGCAGAAAACAAGCAGGTAAGAAGGGAAAAGCAAGATACAGGATGAGGTAGTAAGAATATTAAATTAGTGTTTCTTGGAATCTGTGAAATAATAATTAAAAGGTGGACATTTGTTAACTATTCATGTAGCATGTGGGTCTGTTATCAATTTGTGGCAGAACATCAGAGTTGTACTTGATTTTTTTGAGCATCTCTAGTTGCTTATTTGCTCATTCATTCATCTACTTGTATGATGAGTGTAGGGTATAGAATGGTTGGAAAAAAATGAGTACAATAATTGCCCCCACTGAGCTTGTTTTCTAGCAGGATGGAATAGCATTGAACAGATTATAGTGCAAGTATTCAGTATTTTATATCACTTGTGATAGCTGCCATGAAGGAGAATTTCAGAATGCTAGGAGTGTCTAACTTGGAGGGGCAGGGCTAGGCTAGTTTGAGGTTGTTAGGTAGCGGCCATCAGAGTAAGCTTCTTGAGGAACTGACATTTAAGCCCACCTCTGAAGGATGAGCTTGAAGGATGAAATGAAATAAGATAATGTGGAAATGAGCAACCTTACAGGTAGAGGGAGCAGTACGTAGAAAAGTCTTAGGGTAAAAAAACATTCTCTGTTTGAGGAACTGAAAGATTAGATTAGTGTTTATGGGGCCTAAATGCAAAGTCATAGTGATATGAATGAGATACAGTAGGCTAGGGCCAAATCATACAGGGCCCTGTAGACCATGTTACAGATCTTAGTTTTTATTGTAAGAGCACTGGTAATTCATTATAGTCAGAGAGTGGCATGTTCAGGTTTTTCATTTCTAAGTGCCACTCACCTACTCTATGAAAAATTAATTGAAGAGGGAAGAGAGTAGATTAAAGAGCTCATTTAGGAGTCTTTGAGCAGTCTAGGATAGGTGATAGTAGCTTAGGGAAGTGCAAGAATTGTAAAAATATTTCAAAGATAAAATTGATAGGACTTTGTGCCTGTTTTAGAGAAGGATTTGAAGAGAATTGATGTCAGGAACAAATCCAAGGTCTCTGGCTTGCACATTTGGATGAACAGGATGAGTGGAGAAGCCCTAGATACGTGGGGAGGATTATGAGTTCAGTTTGAAGTATCAGATGAAAACATACAGTAAACAATTGGCTACAGGTACCCACCTCTAAGAGGACTGTACTGAAGATAAAACTATAAGATAGTAAGCACATAGAGGCTTAGTAAATCCATAGACCTGGATATAATTTCTTAGGAACTGAGTATGATGACAACTCTATTGGTGAGGATGTAGGAAAATAGGTATTTCAAAATGTATTGTTTGAAGTATAAAATAATAAAACCCCAAAGGGCAACTTGGCAATATTTATCTAAATTAAAAATACACATATTCATACATCTACCTTTTGATCTACCTAGGAACAGCAATTCTGTTCCTAGTTAGTCCCAAGAGAAATGAAGCTATATGCCTAGAGACTTGTATGGGAATGTTTATAACATAAACCAAATGTGGTATAATCATAAATGAGAATTATACCAGCAATAAAAAGGAATGACCCACTGATATAAACAACATAGATGAATCTCACAAATGTGCTGAATGAAAAAAAGACACAAAGGAATACATACATATAATTTTACTTATGTAAACTTCTAGAACAGACCACTAATATATAGTGAAAAAAATCAGAAAAATGGTTGTCACTGGGGATTTTGGACAGATACTAATTAGGAAGAAGTATGAGGGTGATGGAGTTCGATCGCACAGGTGTACATGCATTTGTAAAAATTTGTAGAAAGGTACATTTAAAATGTATGAATTTTTTCACTATGTAAATTTTGCTTTATAAAAAGAACTATAAACAATTACTGATCTCTTGTTAATTACAGAAGTGCTAAATTGTTTAAAGGTAAAGTGTGCTTATGTCTGTAACTTATTTTGAAATGCATCCAAAATATAAGATGAATTGGTGGAAAGAGGGATGACTAGATGGATGAATACGTGATGAAACAAATACAGCAAATGTTAATTATTGAATGTAGGTGGTGGGTATATGGGTATTCAGTGTACACATTCAAACTTTTCTGTGTATTTGGAAACTTACAACCTGGGGAAAATATACATATCCTTTGATCTAAGAGTTCTTCCTTTAAAAATTTATCCTGCAGATATATTTACAGTCATGTACAAAAGTATATGTTCAAGGCCATTTTATTGCAGTATTGTCTGTTAAAGGAGAAAATTTGAAGTAACCTATATGTTCATCAGTAAGATGTAGTTAAATAAGCTATGTAATTTATTCAGCATTGAATACCATGTAGCCATTTAAAAAAGGAGACAGCTCTCTCTATATATGCACTACTGTGGAACAGTTTTCAGGATGTATTGATGAGTGATACACATACACAGAACAAATGTGTATATAAATATATTATGCTACCATATCTTTTTTGTTGAAGGATATATACACATAACATATAAAGAGACAAGCATACACATATATTCTATTTGGTTAGAATTTTTGTCATAGACTACCAAAGAAATGGGTATTTCTTTAGAGAAAATTGGGGGTGGGGAGGCAAAAGAACAGAGTTGGAGGAAGACTTACTTTTTATTGTGTGCCTTGTATTACCTTCTGAATTTTGTACATGTACATGATTTACATATTCAGAAAATAAATACAAACTAGTTAGAGGCCAATGAATTTGAAAAGATTGAGAAAGCAGAGAGCCAAAGATGTAAGGCAAAAGCTAGGAGAGTTTTCAAAACCAAGGGAAGGAAAGGAATGTTTTAGGAAAGAGTGTGTTGTCAGTTTTGTCCAGTATGGCAAAGAGTTCTGTAAAATGTAGGTTAAAAAATTTCCATTTGATTTAGGAATGGGGAGGTCATTGATACCCAAAGCAGTAATCTTTGCTCTATCCTGTCTAATTTTCAGCGTTTAGAAGATTATCAGCGTCGCCTTGATACTTCTAATCTGAAGTTGTCAGAGTACCCAAATGTTGAAGAGCTCAGGGTGAGAGATGGTCTAATAATTATTTAAAAAAAATAAAATTTACTAAAGACCTGGCAGGTAATTAATATCTCAGTGGGAACATACATTACCTGAATGAGTTCTTTCATTAAATGTCTCATCTGTGTGAAGATTACTTTAGTCTTTCACTAAAGGAGTATTTCTATGAGACTGTTTTGTGATAGAAATTTAGAGGAGGCTAAAGAACATTACTTACTAAGTTTAACTTACTGTGTTGTGTAGTTTGAATAAGAATAGGGCTGTTTACTATGGAAACTTTAGTAATTGTCACTTTTAGCATATGAGGCTTTTCTACTAACTACTACTTAAGCTTTTAACTTTCCTTGTACTATTGTGCTAGGTGGTTGTTTTGGCAAATTTATTTGGTGGCTTTAAAATAGACTTCTGTGTCATATATAACAGTTTATCAAAAAGCATACTAATGTAAGCACATATGTAGCCCTCACCATAAAATGAATTTTTTCTAGAGCTACTTATACTACAAGATGATTCTTTTACTAAGTTATTAATATTTACATCAAGCCTGGGTACTCTCTGGACTTGATTCATAAACACCATTCCTTAGAAGTTTCTTTGGAACTAGAGCCTGGAACTTAGAGCCGTATTACAAATAAGCTATGCATTATCCTCATCTAGTTATTTATAAAAAATTAAGCGGTAGGTTGAGAATCTGTGGCTTAATATTTACAGCTTTATTTTTTTTACCTTATTTTTATTGTTTACAGTATTACAGCTGTCCCCATTTTCCCTGCCTTTTGCCCACCTCCTCCCCACACCCTCCTCTCCTCTGGCCATCACGATACTATTGTCTCTGTCTATGGATTACACATACAAATTCTTTGGCTAATCCTTCGCCTTCTTTCATCCAGTCTCCCCTCCCCATCCCTCTTGACAGCTCTCAGTTCCAGTATCAATGCCTGCCTCTGTTTCTATTGTTGGTCAGTTTATTTTGTTCATTAGATTCCACAAATAAGTGAAATCATAAAAAAGAAGGAACTCTTACCTTTTGTAACAGCAAGGATGGACCTGGAGATTATTATGCTAAGTGAAATAAGCCAGTTAGTGAAAGACAGATACTGCTTTATTTTATAAGCTAATATTATCTATTTACAGTGAGATTTAGAAGATAGTACTCCTGAATGTTTCCCAAGATTCTTTTCCTTTTTAGAAAATTGTATGCAGTTTACTTTAACTTGGTTTTTATTTCAGTAGTTGAAAGACACCAATAATAATAGTGAATGTAAACAGTAATTTTATATTAAGAATTCCTTGAAAAGAGACTATGTGAAACATTACCACACTAAATGCTTGGGAATAATTTATATAATTCTTTTTATTTTGACAGAATTTGGATTTAACAAAAAGCAAGATGATTCATGAAGGGCCATTGGTTTGGAAGGTGAATAGAGATAAAACTATTGGTAGGTCAAATATTTGTCAATTTTGGGGAAAGTGAAGAAAGGAAAAGAGTGGGAAAGTTTCTTAGAAGAGATAACCATTCACCATTTTCAGTTATAAAACAGTGAGCAATGCTACTTTGTGTTATTTATACATTTACAGAAGATACACTTATGTGATTTTGTTTTATGTGAAGTGTTACATACTCATTGAAGGATGAAGCAGAAAATTTTGTCATGATTCTGTCTCCATCATTCTTGTATTTGAATGATCTTTCTTTAGATCACTAAACTTAAAACTAACTGTTTGAGGAACCACTGTTTTTCATTTCTTGTCAGTCACAGACTAATACTTTAGTGTAATATTGTAATAAAATAAAAATGAATGAAACTAGACCACCAACTTATACCATAAACCAAAATAAACTCAAGATGGATAAAACATTTCAATATAAGTTGTGACACCAAAAAAGCCCTAGAGGAAAACATAGGCAAAAAATTTTCAGATATCCCACGCAGCAATATTTTCACTGATATGTCCCCTAGGGCAAGGAATGTAAGGAAAGAATAAAGAAATGAGACTACATCAAACTAAAAAGCTTCTGTACAGCTAAGAAAACACCAGCAAAATGGAAAGGGAGCCAACCCTATGGAAGAACGTATTTGCCAATACCTCGGGCAAGGGTTTGACCTCCAAAATATGTAAAGAATTCACACGACTCCACACCAGGAAGACAATCCAATTAAAAAATGGGCAAAGCACCTGAATAGACACTTCTCCAAGTAGGACATGTAAATGGCCCATAGGCATGTGAAAGGATGCTCAACATCACTAGCCATCAGAGAAATGCACATTAAAACCACAATGAGATACCACTTCACACTGATCAGAGTGACTATCCTTAACAAATCTACAAACAACAAGTGCTGCAAGGTTGTGGAGAAAAGGGAACCCTAGTAGACTGGTGGGAATACAGACTGGTGCAGCCACTGTGGGAAACAGTATAGAATTTCCTCAAAAAACTAAAGATGGAACTGCCTTTTGATCCAGCACTTCCACTGCCTAAACTATGCCCTAAGAATCCTGAATCACTAATTCAAAAGAACCGATGCACCTCAGTGTTATAGCAGCATTATTTACAGTAGCCAAAAGCTGGAAACAGCCTCAGTGCCCCATCAGTAAATGAATAGATCAAAAATCTGCGGTACATTTACACAATGGAATACTACGCAACAGAAAGAAAGGAGGTACTCCTACACTTTGCAACAGATTGGTTGGAACTGGAGAGTATTAGGCTAAGTGAAGTAAGTCAGATGGTGAAAGACAAATACCATGTGATCTCACCTATAAGTGGAACCTAATCAACAGAACAAACAAATGAGCAAAATAGAACCAGAGACTTGGAAATAAAGAACAAATGGATAGTGACCAGAGGGGAGGTGAGAGGGGTATACTGGTGGAAAGAAGGGGTATGGGCAAGCAGAGGAAAAAGGATATAGAACTCTTGGGCACAGACAGTGGAGGGGGGTGGTGACTGACTTTGGATGTGGGGCTGCAGGGTAAGGGTGAGCAATGGGGAAAAAAGAGGGACAACTGTAACTGAACAACAATAAATAAAAATACAGTAACAAGTCAATTATTAAAATATACTAGTTTAACAGAAAATATCTCTTGAATTATAAAGTTTATAAAACAGATCTCAATTTCCACACTAATCACCTTTTTCTATATTTTTTATTTCTAGATCTATACACATTGCTTTTGGAAGACATGCTTGTATTGTTACAAAAGCAGGATGATAGACTGGTGTTAAGGTGTCACAGTAAGATTCTGGCATCTACAGCTGATAGCAAACACACATTTAGCCCTGTCATTAAGTTGAATACAGTATTGGTTCGACAAGTGGCAACAGGTGAGTATGTCTGCTGAATGATACTAACCCCCAGTTTCATTGTAAAATTCTGTAAGATATCCAGTGTTATGTAAATGGCACAACTGCCATAAAGTTTTTTTTTTTATATTCTTATACAAATTAAATGAAATTTATTTGCTGTTTATAAAGTGAATTAAGCCCTGGCTGGTGTAGCTCAGTGGATTGAGCACTGGCTGTGAATCAAAGGGTCGCCAGTTCCATTCCCAGTCAGGGCACATGCCTGGGTTGCAGGTCAGGTGTCCAGTGGGAGCCACGTGAGAGGCAACCACACATTGACGTTTCTCTCCCTCTCTTCCCCTCTCTCTAAAAGTAAATAAATAAAACCTTTTTAAAAATAAAGTGAATTAAGTGTTTGCACTCCCTAATTAGGACACCTAGACTCTGAGTAATTTTCTACATTTGAAAATTTTCTGTATGTTACTTTCATCTTTATTCCATGTTCAAATCATTGATAGACATCAATGAAAATAGTGAATTGGAAGATAATCCCAGTGAAAAGACTTTTATTAGAGTGGTATGTTTTTTGATTTGGTGGGGGGGGGGGCAAAACCTGAAGATATGGGTTTAGTTTGGGTTTTTGAAATCAGTTTAAGATAGCAAATTATGTATTAATGATATTAACAATGAAATCCCTTTTAAATTAATATATTGTTGACACTGTTACAGATGTCCCCATTTCCCCCCCTTTGCCTGCCTCCACTTATCCCTCAACCCCCTTCCTTCTGTCCATCCCTACACTATTGTCTGTGTCTGTGACTTAATGTATTTATGTTTTTTGGCCAGAAGTCTCTTTTAAAGCTCATTAGTTCCATGATGGCAGGGAAAATTTATGACCTCTGTTCTCTAACACCCAATGAATATTATTAACTAACTCTTTAGCAAAAGGCCAATTCAAAATAATTGCCAAAAAATCATAGTGTTTAGTTTAGGAATTTAGATACTTTGATTTTTCATTTCTAATAAATTACTGTGAAACCAGTGCTAGTTTTTATAATTTTTGCTTTATTGAAGTATAATAAATAAAGTATAACATACAATATGTTGTACCAATTTTAAGTGTATAGCTTGGTGAATTTTTACAAAGTAAGCACAGATTTACAAAGTGAACATATGTAACCTTGACCTAAATTAGATGCAGAATAATACCAGGACCCTCGAAATGGCCTCTGGAGGTCATATTATGAGAGTAATTTTTGTCTTATTTTTTTCTAGATAACAAAGCTTTTTTCGTCATTTCCATGTCAGACAATGGAGCCCAAATTTATGAACTGGTGGCACAGACGGTTTCTGAAAAGACTGTGTATGTATTAGATAGGTACCTTGCTCTATTTTTTAATTAAATTTATTGGGGTGACATCAGTTAATAAAATTTTATAGGTTTAAGTGTACAATTCTGTGACACATCATATGTGTATTACATTGTGTGTTTAGTACTTAAAGTCAAACCTCTTTTCATTGCTTTATATTTGACCACCTTTACCCTTTACTACCCTCTACCCACTGGTGCTCTACTGTGTTTCATATCCTGAATGTAAGCTTACATATTTTGTTTCTTCAGTAGGACTTTTGACAACCAGAAAACAATTCCTCTATAGTCTTTTAGATATGTTCTAAGAACTTGTTTCTTTTTAGATGCTTCTTATTTCGATTCTGTTCTACTGAAAATATTTCTTCTAAAGAAAAGATTCTAGAAGGATCAAGTGAAATTTTTTCATGGGTAGTGTATCCATTATGTTGTAAGGTTTTTATTTAAGGTATGGAATATGTATAATCTCTACTTAATAGTTATTGCCAAAATATGTTTATACCATATTTTTAGGACTATAAGATGCACTGGACCATAAGATGCACCTAGGTTTTAGAGGAGGAAAACAAGGGGAAAAAATTTTGAAGCAAAAAATGTGGTAAAATATTTAATAACCTGTGAACCCACTCCACTGCCCCCCCACCCCCGCCCCACAGCGAGCCAGGCATGCTACATTCGGATTATAAGATGCACCCCCATTTACCTCCCAGATTTAGGGGGGGTGCGTCTTATAGTTCGGAAAAATACAGTGTTCTCTGGCAGAAAATAGAGTTTTTTGTTTGTTGGGTTTTATTCTTTGGTTTTGTTTTGTTTGTTTCTCGTTTGTTTTTATTTTGTTTTTATTTTTGCTTTCTTAGTGTGTTTAAAGGGTACTTCTTTTTCCTTTCCCTTTTGGATTTTGTGTTCTTTTCAAAATTTCACAGCTGGCAGGACCTAATCTGTCAGATGGCTGCATCAGTGAAGGAGCAAGCCATAAAGCCAATTCCATTGCCACAGTCACCACCTTGCGAGTGAGTGTGCCTTTGCCTTGTAGGAGGACTGACTTTGTGGTTTTGGTCAGAAAAGGAATGGGTAATTTTACATTTTGTTGCAATGATATATAGGCACCTGATGAAGTTCAAAGAATGTTGTTTTTTCTTATATAGAGAAGACAATGATGAAGAACCTCCAAAAATAAAAGTGGAACGTCATGGCATTTCAGTAACTTGCCTGCAGAGCACAGGTAAATTTATTTGTTAGTTTACCTGTAAGAATTTAGTCCATATATTACTTACTAAAATGCAGAGAAACTTGAACTCTTTTGGTTTATGAGATTCTGGCATCAGCTGTTTATTTTAACAAGCTTTGCTTATGAGCCTTGTAACACTGCTCTAAGTATATTTTATATTTTACTTAACAGAGACTCTCTAGCTCATATGGTTACTTTTTACCAAGTATTTCCTGAATGCCTCATGTTAAAAGTTGAAAGATATATTCTACTTTTTCTGTCTTATTGAACAGACAGAGATTTGGAATTAGAGTCTCCCTTGATATCATCAAAAGCTCAGCCTCATTCACTGAATGCCTCTGGGAAATCAGAGGTAGATGATCTCTTTGTGGCTGAAAGACAATTTGCAAAGGAACAGCATGCAGATGGGACTGTAAAGGAAGTTGGAGTAAAACATCCCATCACAATTCCAGATTCACACTTGCCTGTCTCAGAAGGACAGTGGGCATTGGATGCACTAAGGAATTGTAAGTTTTATTTATAAGCTAAAGCAGATAATAAGTACCAGAGTTGTGTAATGTACTCTGCAGTCATTTAGGGAGAATACAAAGAAGTATAACTGACTTTTTCCTGCAGTACTTTTATAATCTATTTGGGAAGATGATAGAAACTTTGCCCATATTTGGTTGAGTCTTCTGAACTTCAAGGATGGCACATCAATGTTTTGAGGGTTTTTCAAACTACAAATTGTTCTTCGAATATTCTTGTGGAAATTGTAGTATTTTCCACCAAGGGCCATCGTTTTCACATACGCGCCTGCACATGTGTACACACCCAGGAGAGTGGATGGTCCTTGCCAGTCTGTTAGCTAACCCCCTCTCTCTCCACTCCTTGATAATCAGTTACAAATGGGAGTGTATCACATTTCTCAGGCATATATGTGGAGTTGGGGAAAAGCTTGAGAACGATTGCTTTAGCTATAGAGAACCATTTGAAGTTTTTAAGCTATGTTATAACTAATGAAAAGAGATTAATTTGACTGAGAACTTTTAAAGGTTTTTAATAGAAAGAGGTTTGGAATGGTACAGTTACCATTAAACTGTTGTAGTAGCCTGGGCTTGAGGCTGAGAGGGTTTGAACTAGAATGATGTCAAAGGAATAAATATAAAGTGAGTTGTCAACAAATACTTAAAACAATTAACTTATTTGGATATAAGGGTATAAGAAAGGGAAAATTTAGAAATAATTTTAATTTTTTATCAGAAATTAAAGTCATAAAGGACCAACACTGCCCACTGTTATCCCCCCCTTTTTTATTTGCCAAAGAGTATAGGCTTAATTTTAAAACATGTTCAGCTTAATATAATGAATGATAAGCCACTTAAGAAGAGATGATGAGTAAGACGTTAGAGTTTAAGACTGGAACTTTGTAGAGAGACTAGGGAAAGAGATGGATTTTAGTGTCAAAGCCATAAGACTTTAGAGCATTTCTCAGAAAATGAATGTAAAGCAGAAAGACAGAGGGTCAAAGACTCATAGCTATGTGGAGAAACAGGAGGTGGAAATTAAGCCAGAGTTGAAAGTAGGGAACTAGTCAAATTCTTTAAAACCAAATTAATTCTACATTCTTCTGAATTAACATTGACAATGATTTATTTTTTTTAATTAATATATTTCAATTACAGTTGACATTCAGTATTATATTAGTTTCGGATGTACAACATAGTGGTTAGGCTTTTATAAATACAATTAAGATTTCTGATGGTTTGACTGACCTTGTCTCAGTAACTCTATCATTGTATAAATGACCTTACAGCATAGACTTGCCCATTCAAAATTGAATTTATTCTGTTTTTAACAACCTAAAGAAGCTATGCCATGAGTAAGATCATTTTTTTAAAAACTAATAATATTTCCTTATCTTTTGAAATTATACACACTGCCAATCATCAGAATTAAGTTTTTTTCACAAAGAAGTCTATTTTCTTCTTCACTATTTAAGGAAATTCTTTAGGTCATTCTAAATGATAAAATAAATGTTCTGTGTGGCTAATAAAATTAGAAAAAATAATGGCTGTGTATATGGTGTCTATGTCTGTAAAAATAGAACCTTCATGTCTAGCTTAACACAGTGTTTCAACATCCTTTTAAGAAGTACCACGTGAAGCCCTGGCTGGTGTAGCTCAGTGGATTGAGCGTGGGCTGCGAACCAAAGTGTCACAGGTTCGATTCTCAGCCAGGGTCCATTCCTGGGTTGCAGGCCATAACCCCCAGCAACCGCACATTGATGTTTCCCTCTCTCTCTCTCTCTCTCTCTCTCTCTCTCTCTCTCTCTCTCTCTCTCTCTCTCCCCCTCCCTTCCCTCTCTAAAAATAAATAAATAAAATCTTAAAAAAAAAAGAATACAGTGTACACTTCAACATCATTTATAAAAAAAAAAAAAGAAGTACCATGTGGCTATTATTCCAATTATATGGAAGAAAAAATAGAAGAAGACATGGTTTTGTTTATTTAGTAGTTCAAAATAGGAGTACCTCCCTATTACAAATATTTAGATCTTTTTAAGTCTAGTTTAATATTGAATCATCTGTAAATGGTGCTTGATTTTATTTTTCAAACAAAACAAAAAAATGATCGTATGAAATTAATATTTTGACTGTATGTTTTACTAAAAAGGTGCTTGCTTTTAGATATGATTGATAATTCCACTAACTAATTTCATTTTGGCACTCTGAGGTTATAGTTGTGAATGTGCATTTCCCCCCCTCCTTCCTAAATCTTTTAGTGGGTTTGTTGAAGCAGTTGCTGGTACAGAAGCTGAGTTTGACTGAGAAGAGCACTCAGGAAGATTGGCCACATTTCTCAACATACAGGACAGCCTCCTTGGGGGTACAGAGAGACAGTGAAACCCAGAACTTTGAAATTATTAAGGCCTGTCATCCTGGTGAAAGACAGATGCCCTTTAGAACTGGAACTGGTGACATTTCAGCTTGTTACAGTCCCCAGGCTTCAACAGAGTCTTATGTTCCACGGGATTCAGTGTTACTGGCATTCCAAGATAGCCAGGCAAGTAACATTTTAGTAATGGACCACATGATTATGACCCCAGAGATTCCTCCTGCAGAGCCAGAAGGAGGTCTTGATGAGAGTGGAGAGCACTTTTTTGATGCCCATGAACTACATAGTGATGATAATCCATTAGAAGGTGATGGAGCCATTAAAATAGAAAAAAAGGATGCCAACTTACACATCTCAGGCAAGTTCTTTCACATTGAAACTTTGGTTTTGATTGCTGTTAACTGTCCTGTGTGCTAAAGTGCATGTTGTTTGGGTTTGCAGGCATCGTGTGTGTGTGTGTGTGTGTGTGTGTGTGTGTGTGTGTGTGATGTGTTATTTATTCTTTATTGCACTAAATAATTTTTGAATCTACTTTAGATGCTGGGAGATGTAGCATTGAATAAACATAAAAATCAACTATTCTTTTAAAGGTTAAGTGCCACTAGGGGAAAGATTAATGATAAGTAAACAAATAAGTAGATGTCAGATATGAAAGTATTCACAGGAAAAATAAGTCTCACTAAGGGACAGCAGAGAGTAATGGGAGCAGACAAGGTGATTGAGGAAGAGGACCCCTGCTGAGGTAGCATTTGAGCAGAGACCCAGGGGAAGAAACTACATGATTATCTGGAAGCAGAATGTTACAGCAGAGAATATGCACAGGCTATGTGGCAAGAGCAAGTTCTTTGTGGTTAAGCAATATAGGGCAAGGGAGACAAAAACAGTAGAAGATGAGGCAAGAAAGGTATTTGGCAGGGGAAATGGCAGTAAGATCATATATGGACTTAGTTGTCAGCTCTTAACTTTTAAAATGCTAACTAATATGAAATTATTCAGAAAGTACCACAAAAGGTTGCTAAGTTTAACTTGAACCTGAAGTGAAAATTCTGATGTACTTAAAATTAAACTTGGGAATTTTGGAATTAATGGCTCTCACCCCTCTTTAACAGCTTTTAAAGTTGTCAGCATATCACTGCACTTCTATTTTCTGATGTTTTGATAGCATTACTAAATCTCACAAAACTGTTCTGTCTATACCAATAGGAAACTATTTGATCCTTGATGGCTACGAAACAGTACAGGAGAGCTCCACAGATGAGGAAGTCACCTCCTCCCTTCCTCCACAACCCAAGAAAGGCCTCCCCTTTGTGGACTCTACTCACCAGCCACAACATTCTCTCCAGAATGCTCTTTCTGATGGTGCAGTTTCACCATTCACCCCAGAATTCGTGGTCCAGCAGTGCTGGGGATCTGTGGAGCATTCCTGTTATGAGATCCAGAGTCCCTCCGCTTGTGCAGATTCAGAAAGACAGATCATGGAGTATATTCATAAGATAGAGGCTGACCTTGAACACTTAAAGGTATCTCAGACTTCAACATCCTTAGGACTTGTTTGGTAATTGGTCTATATTTTAAAGTTTGCCATCAGTAGACAGCTTCTAGAGCCCAAAAGTTTTTTTCATTACATCATTCAGTTGGAGGCTTTAGGGACAGTGTTAAATCTGTTCCTAGCCTTTAGCTAAAGGCTGGCCTCCATGAGTTTTTCTTTAACTTCAAATGATGTTTCCCCTTCTTCATATAATTACATGTAGTTTCATCCTGGGGCTGATGAGAGGAGTTAAACTAAAGTCCATTGTGTGCAGGTCTCACATACTAAATGTGGGACCGTTTTCAGGGTGACTCCTAGGGGTGGGAGAATCACTTTTACTGTTTACTCTCGCCTCTACTTTCTTTTCATTTTGGTAAGTTTTAAGTTATTTATTCATTTAAAGCAGAAATAGGTAAAAATAAAATTTACATTCTTCATCCACTAACAAAATTTTAATTATGTTTATGTTGAAATTTAGAAGCATACCTGCAATATAAAAAAACCTTTTTTTCCTATTTTCAAAAGATGTTCTTAGGATATTCAAATGAAAAACCTATTGGTTTTATTTTACAGAGGGTGGAGGAAAGTTATACCATTCTTTGGCAAAGGCTGGCTGGATCAGCCCTCACAGACAACCACTCAGGTATGTGAAAGTGTAGATTCCAGACTCTAGAATCATTCTCCCTGAATAAATGCAGTAGATAAAATTATTTCCTATTTTGTAAAGCAAAAGCTTTATGAGATTCCCTTTTTATCTTTAAAAAATTGTTTGCACACATCAGTAATCAAGCAGAAATTGTTATCTGCTAAGTCAGCTCTTTGTTTTCTAAGAGGAACTGCAGTGGTCAGCTCCCATGCCGCCCCTTTTCTCTGTCTTCACTTTTGCAAAGCAGAAGGCAGAGTGGTGGTAAGCCTGATAATCCTAAATCCCCTATGAGACTTGGCAGTTCTGCTATAACTCCCTAAAGGTGGAAGCTTTATCCCTCCTCACATCTTGGTGTACTTTTATGTCTCTATGACTGCAAGTGGATCTGTGTTCAGTGCAGCAATTTGTATTCATTTGCTCTTGAATGAGGCTGTTCTGTTCTGATCCAAAAACAAAGATATAAATAACCATTCCCACAGATTTCATAGGCATTCTGTAAGTGTTGATGTGACCTTCTTAATTTGATACCTACAGATCTTTATTCTTCCAGATAAAAGTTAGAGCTGCGTGTCCTGGAGGTTGTTGGATTTTGAGCATCAGCCTTATATCAGCACATCCTGGCTCCAGTGTGGATGAAGAGAGAGTATGTGATAGGATCTGCCTGTGAAGCCCTTGGGAATAGTCATGTCCCAGGGGTCCCAGAACAGCACTAGGTATAGGTATTCACAGTCTGGCAGCTGCATAACTGTGTCAGTGAATATTCCTTTCTCACTCTGCTCTCCTCTATCAGAAATTCATTTTGATTCAGAACAAAAACCAAATGTATAGAGCTTTGGGTTTAGGATATGAAATTTTATTTAGACTTAAGAAAATAAGAAAATCTGATGTATTTATTTGACTTCCATATTTGAAAGCACATTTTAATTTTTATTTTGCCATGTTTTAAGTGAGTAGTGAGATTTGTGGCCCTTTGTATATAGTACACCGAAGGATCAGTTGCTTCTGAAGCAAAGAGTTCAGGATGGGATATTAGGAAGTCAGGTAAAGAGGGAAAGAAAAGAAAGAAGTGAGAAGGGGAAGAAGGAGCATCTAGCCTTCTAAACTGTATCTCATGCCCTCTGTTGTCCAGTATGCTGCTTCTTAATGGTTCCCTCAAGGCACTATACACCTATGGCTCCGCTGTGCAAAAGACTTGAGCTGTGTGCTACCTAGGTGGGCTTCCTCCCATCTGAGGCAAACACCTCTTTTCTAGTTGGGATCAATTTCCAGTTAATAGGAATCCTCAATGTACTAAATACCAGGCACTTGAAAATGGGTGTTTTCTTCTATTTTCTTTTCTGTTGAGGGTTGGGATTTGGGAGGGAGAGGAAACAAATTTTATTTTCTTAATTATAAATTTGTTTTTCTTAATTGTTTCATTGTTATAATTATGCATCAGACTTCAGCACTTGTGTAAAATTATTCCTGCAAATTGAACAGGAAATTAAAAAAAAGGAGATACTTCAGATGGTGGCAGGCGTGGGAGTTGCTGAGGAGGGTTTGGAGACTTTGGGAAGGTTATGTAACTGAATCTCTACTGAGTTGAACAATGGCTGTCATTAGCCACAGGCACTGCTGAGTAAATGGTCAGTAAAATGTTAGCGTCTGGAGGTTTGACTCTAATTTTTACACTGATTGTGCCAAAGGGCTCTTTGAGTTAAAAGGAGTGAGTGCCAAGAGAGGAGAGGAGTGGAAAGATGTGGTGCAGAAGGCAGAGCCACCCAAACCAGCTTCAGAAGCACTTCCTCTAACTTTACTGCTAGAACTTTTTCCAACTGGTGCCTGAATGACCTTAAAAAATTGCAGACCAGTACAGACACTGGATACTGCAAGCAAGGTGTTGGCAACTGCCTGTTCTAGAATGACTAGTATATTTGAAGCATCCTACAGAGCATAAAGGTTTCAGAATTGTAACTGAAGAACTCCTTCACTTGTTGGTTTTATGTGATTTTTGTTATGCATCAGGTATTATACATGTTTTGGATTGTTTTTGCCAACTAAAACTAAATCATTTGTCAAATCTTAAAATTCTGTTAATATGCAGTGAATTAATCCATTGCTCTTAACTTTCAGTATAGCCCTCTGAACTTTGTGAGTAGTCAGGATGTAATTCTATTATTCCTTGCAGTCCAAATATATATATATATATACACTCATCGCAAGTGTTAAGGATTCCCAATTACTCTTATAAACATCACTACAGCTTATAACACGCTCATCTATGTCCAGATTCTTATTTCTATCTTTTCAGAAGTGGTCTGTTTTTAAGAAAACTGACCAACTTGGAATGTTGGACACTTGTTTATGAATTATAATTACACTTTCGGTTGTAGACCCAAATATAAATTAAATCAGAATGAGATTAAAAATTTTAGAAGCAGAAGCTAATATGTAAGTGGACTTGAACTTTCTGATCTCTTAAGAGAAGGCAGTAGAAACTGATGGTCACATTGTGCTGCTGAAAATAATGCAGTTGCTCCAAAAGGATTTCACCTGTAGCCACTTGACACAAATACCATCAGTGGGCAATTAATCAGGAGAAAGGTAAATAGAAATAGAACTTTCACCTCACCTTCAGACACTACAGTAGGGAAATTATGTAATTTTCTAGCACTCACTTAAGAGGTTTTGTAGGTCAACAGTGTTTTGATTCCTTTTCTAGCTCAGCAGATACCTTGTCCTTAGCAATTATTTGCAGTTCTTTTCCTGCAGTTTAACTTATTCTTGGAACAATAACAGGGATAACTAGAAAATACTTTGACCATAGCTTTAGTACTTCTAAATAAATTTATATCTAGATTTTCAAATGAAGCCCCAAAATGAAGTATAATTATGAAAAGATCCCACAATTTCAAGTGTTCTTTATATCTTACTAGCTGAACTTCTTCCCTCCTCCTTACTAGCCTGGCCTCCCACACCTTCCATTTTTCCATTTTATTTTGGCTGTTATAATCACATCTGTTTTACTTTGATATTAATATTGCCTATCAGGATGATGGAATTCATCCTATCCTTGAGTGGAAATGGTTACCATTAAAGTCGTTTTCAAAGTTACAGGACCAGATGTTGGAATCTACTTCCACTCAGAAGAGCCCAAAGGTAGTGAACAAAGCAGCATTCCCAGAGCAGGAGAGCTAGGATTTAGCTATTGAAGTGGGCCTAACGGCTCCTTTGCTACTAAGTGGCAAATTACATGAAGTGAGAACAGAATACAGAGTTAATCATGGCAAATCAGGCAGTGCTCAAAGTGCTCTAATTTAAGATATTGATTACTGCCCTTGAAGCTACATGTTTTACATACCTTAATATCAGCTAACTTGGACTGCTTGAGTTACCTTGGCTTTTCAAACCTAAACTATAACTATTTATTATACTACATGGAAGGTATATTTCATAAGCTTTGTGGCTTTTTTATGAAATATGCCTCCCATGCAGTATAACAAATAGTTACAGTTTAGATAAAAAGGAAGAAAAAAGTTTTGTTTGATTTTAGAGAGGGGAGATAATGTGATAGTAGAAGGGAAAAGTCTGTTTTTATTATTTTTAGAAGCTAAAGAAAATAATACGCTTTCTAGGTTATCTTTTATTTGTATGCTTTTTTTTCTTTTTGATATTGGTAAATTTGGTGTGTTACATGGAGCATCTATATTTCGAACTGGAAACTATTTTCTCTGAAGTTGGTATTATCTAGTACTATTATTGGACTAGAGCTTTGGTCAATATTTTCTTGCCTGTATGTCATAGAAGGCATCATTGAGAACTGAGTAGAGGATCTCAAAGTAGACAATCAGCAGGACCTTCTAGTTATCTCTCTGCTGGGTTTTTCCTGCTAGTGTTACAATTTTTGTTTTCTAAAAACAAAAATCATGTTTTCTCCTGATTTTTCTACCCCTTTTCAAAGTGGTCTGCAAAATTGTTTGACTTTCCTCAAGAAAAGAGTTCCTTTGATTCATTTCTTATGCCTTCCCATTGGTTCTGCTGATGTTGATAATAAATTGGTAGGAAAAAAATGTACCTCCTAGAAGGAAGCTCTGTCTGCCATTTCCAGGGGCCAACACTTAAGCATATGTACTACAAAAATAACTATAATATGCACACCATTGGTTATTTTTAATAAGCCTCTTCCTACTAAAACCTTTTATTTTCCTTGTTCACCACACAATCGTGTACTCTTTAACAAAAACTACTTTTTAAAAATCTGGAACGACCTTCCAAAAAAACCTGTATTAATAATCATGTATTTTTTATTGATCACATTTTGAAATACCTAAAAGACTTTATTGTTCTAATTATCGAGATACACCTTTGTAAAATAGCTCTTTTAAGAATTAGCTGATAAGGCTATATGTTTCTGGAACAAAATACTGGCCATCTAAAAACTTTCTCTTTTCTGGGATCTGGGGGAAAAAATAGAGTTCAAATATTAAATATGCTTAAAGGAACCAAGTATGTGACTTTTTATTTGTATTCTGGTTGATTTGTCTTATATAAATTATATGAGAAAAGTTTAGGTGCCAAGGAGGCCTTATTAATTTTACTGACAGTGACTATTAAACATCTTCCTGCTTATTTGAGCATCTTCACTAGTGAGACTACAGTTGATCTCCCTAGTTTATAAACTTTCATGAGGACACTAGCAGCTGGGATTACCTCACCATCTGGAACAGCTTTGTTGTTTCTTAGTTTTATTGAGATACAATTCACTTACCACACAATTCGCTCATTTAAAGTGTACTATTTAATAACTTTTGGTATATTATATTATTGTTTTAAATTGTGATAAAATATGTATAACATAAAATTTGTCCTTTTATTTTTAAGTGTACAGTTCAGTGAGATTAATAGGACAGTTTTTATGGCTCACTTGAAGATAACTTGTTTAATGCTCCCCTCAATGAAAATATGATGTCTTTATTACCATTCTTATCCCCAATACTGGACTTCCTAAAGTACTAACATTTCTATGCTGTTAATGGATTTCATTTCAACTCAGATGACTCACTCAATTTGGGGGTTTTCGTGTGTTGGTTTTGACATAGAGGTATAATTCGACTTATTCTGGGGATGATCTTTTAGCTTTCAGTCATTCAGGAGCACATTTGGCTGATAGATCTAATAAACATAACAAAAAATGCTTAGTATTTTGTGTCATCTTTTAGTTTAAACTTTTTAAAAATTAAGTGATAGTCAGATGTCCTTTGCAGAATTAACATGTTTGTACTCTTAGCTCTCTCTGTTTATACACATAACTGGTAGAACAAGTAAATTCCCATATCATTGCTACTTGCTCCTAGATGACCATGTTGTACTATGAATGGAGCAAGTAAAAGTCTGTCTTTGCACGTGAGCAATTACTTTCACTTTTTGCTCTTCTCCTTCAAGCCAAATGACTAGTTCAGCAAAGGTTAATATGGATAGAAAAATAAGTGCATATGTCCTGATGAAGTTGCTTTTCAATGTGATGTCTCTCTACTATGATTAATGTCATAAAATGTTATAGCTATAGGTGTTTCCACTTTTTATGTAGTATCAAATATAATTCTTGTTACTAATTGGATCAAATTATTCCTTTATTTTAGCTGTCGGGGAATGTTTGTTTTGCCACATGTTTTTACTAGTGAGAAATTATTATTCCCTGAATATCCCCTGAGACCTTGGTTTGAAATTGTTTAAGGTAGGTAGAGGTCTCTATTATAGTCTTTTTTCCTGCTTTGATTAGGGTGTTTTAGGACCTACTGATAATTTAAGGCTTCCTGTATAGCATTTTATTTCAGGGGATTCCTTTCTTTGTATATGTGGCCACAGGGTTGGGGCTCTCTGAACACATTCTGATTAATAACAATAATTAGGTTACATCTTAGTAATCCTGCCTTCATATGGGTTATATCTTATATTTATTAGAAATTAAAATGAGAAAATTTATATAAACATTGATTCATTTAGACTTCCAGCCAAGGTGAAGGCATAGGTAGATACACTTTGCCTCCTCACACAACCAAAAGAACAACAACAACAAATACAAGAACACAAAATAACCAGAACTACCAGAAAATCAAACTGTATGGAAGTCCAACAACCAAGGAATTGAAGATGAAACACATATTCAGATTGCAGCACAATGCAACAAAGTGGGTTACCCCACCCTGGCAAGTACCTAAGGCTCTGCACCTTACTACACGACAGGTGTACTGGGACAAATATGGCCCAAATGAAAGAATAGATCAAAACTCCAAAAATAGAACTCAGTGATGAAGAGATAGCCAACTTATCAGATTGCAGAGTTCAAAACATTCTGTATCTGGTAATCAGGATGCTCACAGAAATGGTTGAGTCTGGTCACCAATAGAGGAGAAAGTGAAGGCTATGGAAAGTGAAGTAAAAAAAAAAATGTACAGGGAACCAACGTTGGAAGGGAAGGAAACCAAGACTCCAATCAGTGGTTTGGAGCAGAAGGAAGATATAAACATTCAACCAGGACAAAATGAATAAACAAGAATTCAAAAATCTGAGCGGCTTAAGAACCTCTGGGACTACTTTAAACGTTCCAACATCTTAATCATAGGGGTGCCAGAAGGAGAAGAAGAAGAGCAAGAAATTGAAAACTTACTTGAACAAATAATGAAGGAGAACTTCCCCAATCTGGCCAAGGAAATAGACTTCCAGGAAGTCCAGGAAGCTCAGAGAGTCCCAAAGAAATGGGACCCAAAGAAGCACACACCAAGGCACATCATAATTACATTACCCCTGAGTAAAGATAAGGAAAAAATCTTAAAAGCAGCAAGAGAAAAGGAGACAAAGGAGTTCTCATAAAACTGTCCGCTGATTTCTCAAAAGAAACCTTGTAGCAAGAAGGGGCTGGAAAAAAGTATTCCAAGTCATTAAAGGCAAGGACCTACATCCAAGATTACTCTATCCAGCAAAGTTACCATTTAGAATGAATGGGCAGATAAAGTGCTTCCCAGAAAAGGTCAAGTTAAAGGAGCTCATCATCACCAAGCCCTTATTATATGAAATGTTAAAAGGACTTATCTAAGAAGAGGATCAAAACTTATGAACAGTAAAATGACAAGAAACTCACAACTATCAACTGACACAGTCTCCGGCTCTCAATATCCGTGGCGTCATGGATGAGACATGAGACATTTACACAGACTACCAAGTCCTATGGAGGAAAAGGGATGGCATGGCTGCCCTTTCAAGGGGAGGGTGCCTCAGAGCAGCCTGGACACTCTCTCAAGAGGAGAGCATCCCAATCCTTTCCTTCACCGGTTTTTTATTGAAATCAGTTTGCATAGGAATACAGGTACAGCTTATTAATCATTGTCAGGCAGTAAGGCTCAAACAATAGATAGCATACAAAGGACTATTAGGGCTCTTTCTGAGTCAGGGTCTATCACCTAAAAGACTACAAAACTTAAGGGAACAAACTCATTTCCTGCCCGGGCCTTTATCATTTTAATTAAGAGCATTCTTAGCAAAGCAAATTTCACAGGAGTTTGTGTATTCTTTCTCAAGCCTGATTACCCAGGGAACCTGCCCTTTCCAGCACACGGCTACAATGCCCTCTGTCATTGTTTCCGGATTGACATTGTTTCAGGATTAAGTTAGTCAGAGGAAGCAAGATAGCCAAGAAATTAGGAGACTTGTCTCAGACAGGATGAGGACTCAGGCTTTGTCAAAGCTGAGGTGCGAGGGTCCATCACCCCCTTTTGCTGTAGCCCCCCAAGTCCTTCCCTGGGGCTTCCACGTGATCATGCCTGTCTTAGGTCATTCCCCCCTTGGGGAATCTTACCTGTCATTGGCTAACCGATCAAGCATTGGAGGCCAGTTATGGAAAAAGGAGCAGAAGTGGTACTCCTGCCAGGGAGATAAACTTTGTCTCCTTGGTGGCTTATGGTCTGAAGGTCACTCACTCAGCCTTAGCCATGGTGGGGTTACAGCTTCTGAAACCAGGCAGGGCAGTTCCCAACAATCAATGACCAAACCTAAAAAAAAAACAAACTAAGCAAACAACAAGAACAGGAACAGAATCCCAGAAATGGAGAACCCATGGAGGTTTATTAGCAGGGAGGTTGAGGGAGGAGAATGGAGGGAAAAAATACAGGGAAAAAGTTGTAAATGGTAGGTACAGAGTAGACAGGGAGGTTAAGAATAATACAGGAAGTGGAGAAGCCAGGGAATGTACATGTATTACCTATGGACATAAACTATGGGGAGGTAATGCTGGTGGGGGGGTGCAGGGTAGAGAGGAATAAAGGGGAGAAAAAGGGACCACTGTAATAGCATAATCAAAATATACTTAAACATTAATTCATTTAAAAATAATGGTAAACTCATTACATGTTTTATGAAGAACTATGTTTTCCAAAGTCACAATATTTATTGAGAGCAACGGGGCGGGGTGGGGATTGGGACAACTGTAACTGAACAACAGTAAAAAATATTGTTGAAAAGAGTGTTTTATAGTTTATCTCTTTAATGTCTGACATAATAGAAAAAAACTGGGCTTTCATATGTACTTCTGCATGCAATCTGGTATGATAATGTTGTATTGGTTGAATTATATGAAGATAATCCAGCCTCACACAGGCACATATTTTAAAAGGGGACAAGTATTTCAATAGCCTTTTCAGATCATTGTGGATATTCTTCTTTGACACTACCCTGAAACTTGACAAGTGGTAGGTTCTTAAAAGAGTAGAATCTGAAGCCATATCAAGGAAATTTTTATACTTTGTTACACTAAAATCCATCAGTCCACTTCATACTTTAAATATGTGAAGAAAGGAATCCTTTACTATGCATGATTTCATAATAACCTGTATTGCCATTTGGAAATTTTTAGTTTACTGAATCATGCAGGTCTTCCAAATGTTGACACATTTTATAATAATAAAAAATCACATTTGTTAATACCAACAACACAGTTCATCAGAAAAGTCTAGTGGTGGAAACAAATTTCTAAAACTAAGTTTTGCTTGAAAGCTCAGATTTTGTCATTGGCAATAAATACAGTTGTTTTCCTTCAAATGACAGACTCACTTTTTTCCTTTTTGAGAGAACATCTGCTATATACTTAAGTCTGAATAGCCTTTGTTTACCAGTCATCCTTTAAAGTCATTTGGGGGCGGGGGGGAAGGCTGGTTTAGCTCTCAGCTCTAACCATTGCACAATTACTTTTCCTTTAGACACATCTTAGGTATGTGGCAGAGGAACTTTAGGCATACTTTTAGTCACAAAATATTTAAAAAGTGTAATCAAGGATTGAAATTTAATAAAATTACTGTTAATTTTTACTGCTTCATCAAGGGCATTCCAAGGTGAAACTGGTAGTGTTTATATTGCAAGTGACCAGCAGTGAAGACTGTTAGTGAAATTTGGTGTCACTGTCTTGATTCAGGCTAAGCTCCCAACAACTTTATCCTCCATTGCTTTTGCACCCTCAG